CACTCAGCCATCTCAAAAACTCACGCAATATATCCAGGATTCATATATGCATTATTACTCGAAGCACTTACTATATTGGTAATCCAGCGTAGTTTTACATTTAAACTCGATTATGGAATCAATCAAATCAAGACTTTCTGTATCACGTTGTCACCTGCAGTATATGTCATATTCCGCAAGTGAGTATCTCATAGAAAATTTGAATCCGTCATAAAGTTTTCGTCATTTGACCAATTAATGACGATGGTCATCTCTACATTTCCATTGAAAATGTATCATTTCTGAATCCTTGGGCAATTCCCCGGGTCACTTTCAAAACGACAGTTTACTAAACTGCACAAGTGACATCTTTCTAAACTGATATGATCAAATTGCATGTATGCAATATATCCTCATCTCTCCTTCACCAATTTCTCTTGTTGAGAAAGTATGGATAGGTATATGGGTGGTACAGAGACTTACACTCAATGGTTTTACCGAAAGTAGTGTGAAAAAGAGTTTTTTTTATCTTGTTAGATGATTTGATATCAGTAAAAAAGTGCCAGAAGAGGGAAGATTTTATCAAGCATGAAATCTGAAAGAATCGAGCCTGTACGTATTATCAACTAAAGAACACAATAGAGTGCATGGGATGCATACTTCAACGACTCGGCAAAAAATGCTGAGGTACATGTACATGTTTATTACCCCGGATCCGGATAATTATGATCCAGTCCGGTGTCAACGTTTATATTCTTTATAGTCCGTCGGTATATATAGTCCTGGGTTATATTGTTTACCAATTCAGAATAAATGGTCCAGTTAAGACCACACAACCTAGGACACCAGGTCCCGGGGACCTGGTGTCCTAGTGTGTATGGTCCCCCGGACCATATATTCAGGGAGACTTTATTTACTCTGACATCGGGTTGGAAAGATAGATAATGTTAGAAGTAGACCATAAGGTCTTAGTTAGGGATGCTTATAATACGGCCATTCTTTGCCCAAAATGTTATTCAAAATTGAATATCTAGCTACCAAAGCCAAAAATTCAGTTTCCGTCGTCAACTTCTTTAACTTTCCAAACTGTTTGAATTACCCTCGCGTCTGTGCCGGCATTTACAATTCATTGCCAAAAATATAAAATTTCAAATAAAAAACTACAGGTAGGTAATAAAATTCACCTGCATCGATAAATGTTTATTACCAGACTTGTTTTGCTTGTTTATTTTAAGAGTACGATTGTAAAGAACCATCGATGCGCACGCACTCAAGCCCATTGATAAGTAGTTGTAAGCCCCATGATTTAGAACGCGAAGCCACGTGCCATGGCGCCTCATATATTGTCGCTTTACGCTTCGATTGTACTATTTACTATAATCAAATCGGTTCTTATCTTCTACTATCAATATACTACTTATAAACAAGACAACAAATGATAATGTATTTGGAATAAAGTGGCTTTCTTCGGCTAAATCGTCGTGATCATAACATTGTAATCGGCTTATACGGCAGATAGCGATCTATGATCGCCTTTTGCATTTTCGTAAACATCTGATTTTGTTTTAAAAGGTTTGATTGGCACATTATAAATCCTACTTGTTTGATCTTTACATAGGCAAGTGTGACCATTTGGTTTGATTGCATTTTCCATCTTTATTACGGTTACTCTGCTGCTTTTGACTCGCCAGTTTTAAATTCACTTTAATTCACAGTGTCTCTTAAACACGGATTTGCCAAAGCTCTAAAGCTCAGTTGTATTTATGGGGACAGACTTGTGCGAAACTATGTGTACCTAACGACATTGATTCCTGAAAGAGCTGAAAAGAATTAAAACTCAACCATCGATGATTTGAATGATGTATTATTTTTTGCGATACTATTTATTTAGAGTAGAGTTTTTGGTCGGTCGACGTAAACATGACAACAACTCATCAGTCGAGTCACGTACAAGCTACATTATGAATTAATAGGTGACGCGTATATGCAACTTCTTCATTAGGAACTTTCCATATTAATTACCTATAAATTTAGAGGTCTAAGATACTTGTATTGAATAGATCGGTGGATTGGGAACCTGGCTATTGTCTAGTAAACAATTATCGGAGACCCGTACACACCGTCTACTGGAGCGTTTTAGCAAATAATAGTTAGTAATAGATTTCACACGGTAATTTACAAAGCATTTGAATGTTCAAAATTAATTTTCCATTAATATGAAAAATTATGCAAAATTTCACGTGCTACTTGGTTGTTGCATTTTCTCCACCCCAGGAGCTGTAAGTGGACCGAATGTCTGGTATTAGAATTAACTAGCTTCTCTTAATTAACGGAATGACATAATTCTACTTAGCAAATATTTTACGGCGATGTTTCTATTTATATGCATATTTAGTCATCGCATTGTCAAAAAGGTACTCTTTGCAAGTGTTTCAGTTCGCGTGTCTAAAAGAGGGCTTCATCTGCACCCTTTGAGTTAGAAGTAGTTACTTGTTCTAGCCTCGCCCAGTCTGATCCTGTCGTTAACTATATGTCAAATCAGAGGCTTGGGCGTACTTATTTGGAAGAAAGGCAGCAAGGAGAATAAGCTGGTGTGCCCTAGTTTGATAACTCTCTGACCTTTGGCCTTTACTTTTGTCCTTTCTTTTGTTCTTTTCTACTTTTGATTTTTCGCATTTGAAGGTCAATGAGTGTCGAAGCAAGGTCAACTTTAAGAAAGGTCAAATTTTAATCAAGACACTAACACCTGACAACATGACAGAATTTGAAATTGATTTAAAATACCTTTATCTAAGCTCTAGAGTTCTTATATTGATAGTGATGAAAAAATAGTGAATTAATGATTTTGCGCAAAGAAGCTTCATAGGAAAGTATATATCAAAATTAGCAGGTATATTCCATATACTCCTGGCATATACGACATCAACACTCATTTCCGATGCATAAGTACAGTCAGTTCAATCAGTCCATTGGCAACGTTGACAAAAGTGTAACTTATGACCGAATATAGGATAAGTTTTGCATAAGAGCAAAATCTCGAGTGGTTGGCTATAATTTAGGAAAAAGTGTGTACATATATATGGAGAACAATATGGCTCAATTGTATTAAAATGTCGAATCCCATTGGTTTATCTGGGAGTGCTGACAAAAATTGTCCTTCGCCATCACTAGTTGTGAATTTGAATTACAGACAACAGAGACGGGCATTTTCACAAACACTAAACAAAACAATCCCAACTAGGGTGAATTATTGTTCTAGACTAGCGTCTTGTGTTGCTTGTAACCGTCCCCACTAACCCCTGCCCACTCCAACACCGCCACAACAACAATCCCTCTCAAACTCGATCAGGTTTTCGGCAAGTGAAGCAGTATGGGTGATGTCCTAACGATGCAACAGTATCATGGGAGATCAGAGTCTTCAATCAGTTCCTTTCAAAAAAGGATATTAACTCTTTAACAGAAAATTGAAGATGCTATGGTAAGCAACAGAATGACGCGACTTGCGGCAACACTGAAGGGAAGTTTAAGTGGAGGGGGTGAAACAGGCGCCTCCGAGCAAACTAAGATCAGACGGGACTCTAGGCACGGCTTCACAGTTATATACCAGTAACAAGTGTCATCGCTGCCGTCTCTACCCCCCAGTTGTTTCTCAATTAAAGTAATTGATAGAAATCATCACAAATGATTGTTCGCGAGTATGCCACAACCTGTTTATTAGCCTAAACATTACAAAACGTACATGGCATGTGTTAATTGACGATTTTAATATTGATTCCCGATTTGGATTTCTTTGACAGTTTGGTGTTACTGCAATCTAGAAGTATCGTTTCTAGATGCAATCAGAAACGCTCATTCACGCGTTCCTGTATAAGGTCCTAAACGCTTGGCAATCCCCCCCCCCATTAAACACTATTTATATCTGAATGAGCAATTTTTACAAAATTATGACAAAACCTTACATTACTCAATGTTAACGATTTTTTGAAAAGGTTTTGAATAATGTGATCCAATGGCGAGGTTAGGAGGGGAGGGTTGCCTAATGTCTCTGGCCTAATCTATTGATGAGAAAAATTTAGGAATAACCGGTGGGAAAGAAATTATGGTCCCCCGGGGATTATGGTCCCCTTCTTAACGGCCCGTTCTGGCACTGATTTTGTATAAGATGATAAGGGCAAGATGTCACCATATAAATCAATGGAGGGTAGGACCATAATTTGAGAGGACCTCGATCCTACCCTTTTACACCGGAACATGCATATGACTGTGCAAGGTTGTAGTCACTAACATTGTCGATGAAAAGGGAAATTTAAGATTGGGACAACCTACATGTAAGTCCTCCAAAGCTTAGTCCTTATTTTTCATCAGATGAGACCAAATAGTCTAGGTGACACATATCCCCGATTTTGACAACTTTATTCACGCAAGGGTTTCCCCCAGAGCTGCAGGTATTCGGAGTTCAGTGTCATGTATGGAAATCCGATAATAAATCAAATCTTATTGCTCCAACGAAATAATTATAATTAATTACAATAAAAACACTAAAAAGTGAAATTCCCAAATTGAGTGTTTTAGTTGTACAGAGCCTGATATCTTTATTTCAGACACACAGGGCTTCTTTGAGTTAACTATCTGATTTCAAGTGACTGTCTGGGGAAAGACTTTTTACATTTCATATATATTAATGAAGACTCAATTGTATAGATATATAGGACATAAAAAATAACGAGGGTGCATTTATTCAAATATGTCACCTATTATGCTTGGTTACAAGGCGTAGAGTTGCAAAGTCGTCCTTTTAGCTTTGATCAGAATGTGCGAAAACCTTTTTTTTAGATGTCTAACATTTTATAACAGATGTAAATTCAAACCCAAATGTTAAGACAGTACTTGAAATACTATATATATATTAGATTATAAAGTATTCTGATTGCTATTAGACCGATTAAATGTATATGATCGGATTTGTGGTGTCAACTCGTGTTATACAATTTCTTACGACTGGCACGCGCCCAATTTACGATATTGGTTAGGTCGGGCGACAGGTGGCATGGAGCGAAAATCATAAAGAGGCGGGGCTTATTTGATTGATGCTTTCAGCACACGCCAGTCGCTATATAATGTAAGTAAAAAACTAGAATTCATTCAAAACAATTTGGTCATTCAGCAAGCTCGGTCGCGTGGATAAAATTTAAATATAAGTCGGCAAGTTGACAGCCACGAGGTCTTACAACTTTTACTACGTACAGATGAAGATGAGCATTTCTCACAAAGATAAAATGGGATACGACAGCAACGTCCACATGATGAGTCCTGTGCCGTCGCAAACGTCCGACACGCCGATGCTGTCACCGCAATTTTCTCTTCAAGGATCGCCGATGCAGGTTCAAACTGCAAATCAAGGATGCTTGATCTTACACTACGCCCCAGCGGTGACCGCCCAAAAACAGCAAAATCCGAGACTACAGCCAATAATGCCAAACACGTTGCAGCAGAGCAAAATGATGCGCTGCAAGCGGAGGCTCGATTTCTCAAACTTTGGATATGAGCTACCAAAGCCTGAAACCGGTACCGTTGGCCGAAGAAACGAACGTGAGAGAAACAGAGTGAAGCTTATCAACATGACATTTGCAACACTACGTGCATGCATTCCAGCAAGGAACAGAGGCCAGAAGAGTCGCAAGATGAGCAAGGTTGACACATTAAAAGCTGCGATTGATTACATTCAAGATCTACAAGAGATCCTAGATGAGCACGACAACACTGCCAAATCTGCCAATACTACGTATAATGATGTACAGAATGCAATGCACATGAACAGCAACTTATATGCTGCCCCCGAAGAGAAATTCAATACTGCCACAGCTATGCAATCGCAAGCGTTCTATCCAGCGTTCAGAAATGACAATTGCTTTACAACAACATCAAATACAGCATACTCTGCCCAAAAGCCCAATAGTATTATCAATAACAACAATACGAACAATTTCAACAACAATTTGAAGACTTGCAATAACGTCTTTCAATTTGACATTCAAAACAGTATTTCACACAGGCCACTTCAAAGTACTGATCAGCAAACTTCGCAACACATCACCGGGTACCCATACACACCCGCCCTTAGCCCAGGGAGCAGTGGAACAGTCACCAACTCTCCCCAACCAAGTTTGACGTCATCGGACGGAAGCGGGAACATCAGCCCCGATGAAGAAGACCTCTTAGATTTCACAAGCTGGTTTAACTAAATACAGAAAGATGGCACTGCACTTCACACTTTGTAAGTACTATATGTTTGTTGCTCCTAATTGAAAAATAAATGTTTGAAACGTTAAAATATAAAAAAAAATAGAAATACAGATGTGCAGTTTAAAGGGTACAGTTTCAAGCTGTCAGTTTAACTCATTCTAATGCATCATTAATATAAACTCATATCATTAAATTAAAGAGATCCAAATCTATCAATACAATTAAACAGTATTAAATTGATCTTATTAGTTTGCATATAAGCTGATAATAATGTTAAAGTGGTAAGAGCCAAACTGACAAAAAGTCTTTAAATTATTCATTTTGAGTCATTAATTGCAAACTGATCCGATAAAGTATAATCACACTAAATATGATTATATCGATTTCTTCAAAACATTGGATTTATTCATGAATAACCCCCGTAATCAATTTGCAGTCAAACCATTACTCAAATGTTTCACTTTGAGCCGATCGAGTCAAACATGGTCAATAGTCTCAATATGTCATGAATATAATAGTTCATCATATTCATATTTGTTATTTAATGTGACAATTCAGTTTTGATTGACATGCCCAAGAGGGGGTTTAATATTCGAAAACGAGCTAATAAGTGAAATTATCGAATAATTTAGTATGTCAGTGTGTGTCGGATATTATATATCGTATTGTCTAAGTAATATATTACCCAGCGGGTAGTAACAAACTGTGAATTTGTTCGTTATGACACCACCGATCATTGTCATTGAATAACACGCAAGAAGTTTACACACTGTTACACGACCCTGTCTAGCTCTTAGATCGAACATTAACTTGTAACAAAATTGAAATCATATTGAACGTTCCTAAATATTCTGACTTTTATATACTTCCGTTTAAACATCTATATTAACACGATTGTAGTCATATTATAACAGAATCATATATTCTCAAAAACCATTAACGAAAAATTTACATAATGTCTTTATAAGAAAAGACGATATTCAGGCTTAATTATTTTAAGGAGCATGTTATGTTCACTAAATAGTAGTGCGTCGGCGTCAATAAAACACGGCACAATCCCTGTGATATATGTGCACGCGTCTCCCTACATGAACTAACTATTCATACTTTTAAAAACATCTTAGACATAGTTTTTTATTCAGCAGCAAACAAGTTGTTACAAACATGAATGGATGGATACTCATAAATATAAAATGTTTAATGTGTTTTGTTCTTGTCTTTTCAGATTGAGTCAAATGGTTGGTTGGGCTGTTATGGTAACCTAATAGACCGGTCCCTGCGCACGCGACAACCCCGCGACTGACACGTATCCACAATCGAAGCCCTTCCATAGCAGATCGGCCTCACGAATGTCATGGAATTCAAAGATAATTCAAGGAAATTATATGAGTGTTCGAAAAATTTCGGAATCTTCTGTACTTGGGCTGCACCTCACAAGGACATCAGTTGGGATAACTGTGTGACATCGGGTTTTGACTTCCTTTTGAAAAACTATATGACATTGGTTATTGGCAACTGCAATTTTGCACCACGTGGTCTTCTGTCTGATCCCGGGTGTCGGATGCGATGTTCAGACTCTTCAACTGAAGTCTACGTATCCAGTCTGATTTTAATATCAACTGCTTTAATGAACACTAAAATGATCGTTTTTGAAAATAGTTTCAAAATATTGTATGCTCAATTAATGCTTCATCATTAGGGGTGATCGTTGCGTGGGCCTGTCCCACCTACGTGCTAACCTGGACGTTACACAGGGCGATAATCCAGTAATTACATGCTAATAGGCCACATAAAAAGGCTAAATGTATCGGTTAAATTCAGTAGTTTTATACTGTTTAACTTCTTGAATATATTTATTAGACCTTTTATGACGGTCTTTAAAGGTTACACTTTGTACCATGATTTTGAAACAACTTGAAGTTGTTGGGGAATATTTGTTACCGTAGAAAATTCATTGAATTTTCAAATTCATTGACATGTACAGAAATGAGTAAAGTATTCATATATTTTCTTTTAATCAATGTTTTTTTCACTGGCCATATATTGTTCATTTCAACTCACATCTACTGCTTGCTTTACACGTTCAACAGTGTGTACATACTTTACACAATTGTGTTCAGATATTGTTTGTGTTCAAACACTTGTATATATTTATTTACACAGAATTTATTAAAAATGAAATTTATTTAAATATAAAGTTTATAACAAAACTACACGCATTATGTTTTATGCAGAGTTGAGATAAACCTCAAACGGTTAAATTTTAGCCCAAGGAAAACAGCTTTACATTAGTCCTACTTCGAAACTGTGGACCCCCCCGCCCCAGTGGGTCCAAGGTCTAAAGCAAGACTACTATAAATCACATGGACCTAAATCATTCTTAGTACAATGCGACTAGAATTATGAAATTTGCATATATTGAAATCCAATGAAAAATTCCAAATTATAAAATTTAAACTATAAAAGTGATTCTGATAGAACAAAAATGTTTTAATTCATAGCTTCAAGAATATGTAACTTTTACTACAAGTAAACTTTGCTTCAAAACTTTTTCTGACTACAATAGATAGATCTTTTCGTATAAACAACATGATAAGTTCAAAATTGAATTTTACTACTCCCACTTTGTTCTACTTAAAAACGGCATTTGATTCACTTTCTACGCAAGCGAGTATTTACAGAAAAGACGGTTCATATAAAAGTCTACTATTGATGGTGCAAGTTACATTTCATTTTTAGTTAAAATATTTTGAAGGTATTCAATTTCCATAGCATCTAGCATATAAACATGCGAACAGGAATTTAATGAACTCTAAATACAGATCATAACAGATTAATAACAAGCCATTAACGGGCAAAATGTCACATCTTGCCATTCGCCATTGTTACAGACGCCGGACGGCTACCGCCGAACACCAAACATCGTCCACAAAAAAGTCGGAGACTGTGAAAAAAATGGAAAATACTTATCATTTTAGAGATCTTTGGAATAAGTGAATTCTATTTTACCATGGTATGCCTGGGATAATTAATGTTAATTTAATGTCCCCATGTCACCATGTGTTAATCTGTGTCATTTGAAGTTCATGATATACTTGTGAACAAAACATTGACATGCAAAACCTTACCACTTGCCATTTGTTACAGACGCCGAACTCAGACCATCATTCACAAAAACGTTGGAGACCATAACAATGTCACATATCCTGGTAGTGATATAAATCCTAAATCTTGACAGATAAGTATAGTAAGCATACTTTCATTTGATAATTGAATATTGCGATATTGCACACGGCGATATTGCAATAAGACTTTTGAATAAGAAGTTGTTCATATCTTGATTTTCAAATATTTGACTTTCCCTTAATTTTATAAACAAAAGTATCCCGAAAAGTATAGATGTTTAGATCATCAAATACAACATTTAACAAACATATCGTTTTCTCTACTCGACCTATTGAATTGATTATGCAAAAGTCATATCATTTCAACTTTTCAATCTAAGATTTTTACTTTTCTGCTCTTAAATAAGTTAATCCTTGGTTATTTTTTAAATCAATTTTCACTTTTTCCAACACAAAGTCGGTTAGGATGTATGTTATGTTTTAGTATAAATTGTTACCGAACAATGTCTGTACATGCCCAAAAAATCAACTTTTTGAAATTAAATTGAAAATTTTGATAATTTTGATGGGTAGGAATATCATACAATCCAAAACTTTACATGGGGCCTTTAAATCATCTATGTGATCTTGAATAAATATTGAAAATTACCATTGTGCTGATTATGTTATGGTCAGGGAATACTAGCCTACTATTGTTTGATTTATCAAAAATATTGTGATTATGATCCTCACCTATTAGTGACATTCAATACACGTAAGCTCTTCAAAGAGCCCTAAAGAAAATTCACCTGCCGCAGTGAAAATATTTTCATGAACGAATAACTTATTATTTGGGTGGATCTAATGATAATTACGCTTGGTTGTCGGATTGATTAAAGATCAAGGAGTTTTATTGTTTTGCTTGCATAACAAATCAACGTATGTTGTTAAACCAAAACGGTTAACGACACGGGTGTATTCGCATGAGGCCCCAAATTAGCGTAGTGATTTACAAATAAGCCTTACATTCATTAAGTTACTGCCTCTGTAGTAAATAATACGATTTGGCTGATCCCCAGTGGTTTAAAAAATGATCATCGCAAAGATCAAAGCAAGATAAGATTCAAACGGCCAGCTGGATCTCGCTTGATCCCTGTTGGATCAGCAGATCAAAGCCACCGCCGTTATATTGTTTATGCGGTACGTACCTAAAATTACTAGCTAGGCGTGTCCCGGATTATTGAATGTCGATGTCGAACTAACCCTTTTGTACTTTTTCATTGTCTCTCCATATATGATAAATTCCTACAAGTGGATATGGATGGCTATCAAAGAAATGCTTATATATATTCAAAATGCAGTTAAAGAAAAAATACTTATTTTGAAGTCCCCACCGAATTATCAATTAAGTATTCAATCTATTCGAAAGGGCATATCCCCTCCTAGGGTAGCCAAAAAGTCAAAATTTCTTGGAGACATCCCAAAATGTAGACGTAATTAAATAGGGGTAGATAAAATTAATGATAAGCCCACATAAACGTTCACCTGCTTCAGAACGTATTGTTCGAGGTAGAGGGTGTTAGGGTTTGGGGATTTTCGCATTGATTCCTCTTCGTAAGACACTTTTCAATTGTTTCGTGTAACTCTAGAACTTTATTCATCATTCTTCATTGAATTAATTGAATGTTTTTGTTTGTTTAAGTTTTGATAAATTGATCATTTGAGTTTCGTAAAACCGCCTAACCTATTTTTAGTAAGGATACAATGTATCGAAAACGATAATAATTTACATATTTTCTCAATTGGTTTCAAATTCAGACACATACACATTTAAGATGACTATGTGACTATTGCCAGTCTATATTTGTTCTGTACCTCATTTTTCTGATTTAGCATGAGATCGGTAAAGAAGGGCGAGTAGGGACCAACCATCCTTGGTCCTAGGGTATTTCACTTCTTTTTAATTAAGCATAAATGAAGTCCTTTGGAGAGGGATGGGACCAACGTGTGAGATATGTTTGCGTATACCGTCTCTGAAGTTTTTCTGCATAAATGCGGAAAAAACAAGGAGCTACCACGAAACCCTCGAATCGAGATTCCTGTACGATTATTCGTTCAGTGCATTCAGGTCGACGACCAAAGAATGATTGACGTTAGTGCAATATCAAAAACATAACTGGGCCAGTGGCTATAAATTCGTTAAAGCGATCAAAAAAGTTCGGACTAATCTTAACCATTTCTTGGTTATTTTGAAATATTCAACCAGTTAGAGCGGTCAAAACTCAAGTTAGAAATTCTGTCGTGAAAAATGCCGGCTTTCTATTTTTGAATTTTTCATCACGTCAATGAAATCATCACTCTTAAAAATGAATTACTTGAGTATTTCCCAAGTATTTCCCAAGTATAAAAATTACTTAAAGTTAAATAATTAGTTTTACTTCATTTTACTTAGGTTTAACTTATATTGTCATTTTGAGTTTTTTAATTGCTTGATTATGTAAATGAGTATTACAATTACTACAGTAAGTATTTCAATTTCTCTCCTTGCATTAGTAAATTCACCATAAATGAATTACTTAAAAATTACTTAAAAATTATTCAGTAGTTCAAGATTATTTCAGTAATTTTTGACTTAAAATGAGTAGTACAATTTCTCAATATAAGGAAATCCAATAATAATTTTTAAGAGTGATAACATTGATCCACGTTACGTGTTCTTCTTTTCACGCGAGTCTTGAGATGAATCTTGCTTGTAAAGCTGATTTGGTTTAAGGACAATGTGTCTGAACCGACTACTCAACGTTCACTTAAGATCGTAGAATCATGGGATTTGCCGATGCTGCTTGCGGAAACAGTTATATATAATGATACGCATTTTAAGAAGACCGCGATAAGGTTTAAGATCACTTTCGATTTTGCCCAGTTCAGTATTGACACTCATTGATTGGAAACAGTAGCCTGGTCTGACTCTGAGGAGTATTACAATGGGACCCTGCAGTCGTTCCTAATTTATCCAACGTACTTGATTATTAAACGAGTTTTGCTGTCAAAATAAGTAGTAGTTGCTTTACACACATTCATACATCATGGGTGTATTGTTATAGACGTATAATGAACCGTGTTGGTGCAATGTGTGCAGTATTTATATAATTTTGGCATATGGGTAAATCCCGCTATGTTCATCAAGACGCGTGCGATTTGCATAATTCAAAACGGTAAACAACATCTTGCTCCCCAGGATATTTGGCAGGGTAGTGAACTTGTAGATTAAAATACAAATTAGATGTGTTTAATACAACAAAATGATTTCCCCCCATTCATTATTTCACTACCATTTTTATGGTGAAACTTGATTCAAAAATATTTTCGATGAGTTTTTGCCTGAATGTTTATTCCAAATCTGTCCGTTATGAAAAGCCTGAAAATAATTTACAATGGTTTTGAAACATGATATAGAGAAAATGATGTATCGCACTGAACGAATTATCGCAAATTGTAGTTTATAAAGGCACATTCGTGAGTTGGTGATCCAAAAATATTGAAATATTATGATTGGTAAAGGCCCATGCACTTTTCAAGTCCACAGAGGAGAGTATTTTTCCAAAAATAAGCTAAAATGAAATTATGGTTTCCTAACACAACATGTTTAAAATATTATTTCTAGTGAAGAAAATAAGTGTTTTACGAACGAACATAGTCAAGCCGAATATGCCATCTTTCGACAGTTAAAATTGGTCACTAAAGACAAATATTGTCAAAAAGATGGAGCCCTTGCTTATCTGAACACAGGGGAATCATCGATCTCTTGAAAGCCAAGTTTAATTATCGTAAAAATATGACAAATTAGTTGTTTTTGAACTTATAATCAGAAATTAGGCAAATACGTAAAGTTTGTCTGTCAAATCGCCTACAGTTTTACAGGTTAACACTAATTTCAATGGGTTTCTTGAATTCACGGGCACTGACGTCAACATATAGTCTTACACTAAAACTAAGTAAATCTTTGGCCAATGGTAATCAGCCTTCTTGGTATAATGACTTGCTAAAAGTACTCAAATTTATAGGTTCTAATGATTATCATAATGTCAACACTAAGAAATTAAAATCTAGGCTTAAAGAAAGATACGAACAATACTTTGAAAACATGCTTAAAGATACCAATGGCAAATTAAGGTTTTATAAACAAATCAAATTTTCATTTCATTATGAAAATTATCTTGACCATATTAAGAATAAAGATGCCCGCCGCAATTTAACATCGCTTAGAATTAGCAGTCACAAGCTTGAAGTCGAGGTGGGTAGATATAAAAGACCACATCTTCCACCCGAACTCAGAATTTGTAAACTATGTAAAAAGGCACAGGAGACCGAAGAACATTTTTTGCTCAAGTGTAATGAGCTCAAACATACCACAAATAAATATTTAGACTTGCTTTATACCAAATGCCCTAATATCGGCTCGCTATCAGATATGGATTTACTAGCTTTCTTATTTAATGCTGAGGAGCAATATTGCAGCATTTTTTCTAACATGGTAAATGAATTATTCTCTATAAGGAGCACTTTGCTCAGTAGGTAGATTTCAGACAGACTCACCCAGTAACGACGTGATCCAGTTACATATATCGGGTGTCCCAAAAAAAACGTCCCGCTTTTTGACACCTCATATCTCTGCAATAAAGAAGCCAATTCCTTTGAAATTTATCAGGATGTAATATTAGGGTATTATCCACAATTTGTAAAAATATACAAGGAATCCAATATAAATCAAGCGAGTATTGACAAATACAAAATAGAATATCAAGAAATGTAAAATCAGAGAAAAATATCAGTTATGCTAGAATTTGGGCAAGGGATGGCAACATCGAACTGTAAATAGACTTATTGCAAAAATACGAAAAACTGGCTAAAGAATTGAATCTGAAACCATAGAATACAAGTTTCTAGAAGAGACAATAATAGAGGAAAAAGAAAAACAAGATGTCGCAATTTATTTGATCGTTATTCAGCCGCAGATGTCAAGAAGATCATTTTCACTGATGAGAAGGACCTTTCTCTTGAAGTGTCCAAAAATCGTCAAAATGATCGGGTGTATGGAAAGCGTAAACGTCAAATTCAGCCATCAAGTCTTTTCCAGGAAACTTCACATTTTTCCAAAAAGATAATGGTTTCTGCAGGAGTATCCTGGAAGGGGAAGATGGACATTTATTTCATTAATACTGACAAAGCCAAAGTCAACAGCGAAAGCTATATTAAGTTTTTAGATGAAAATCTGCTACCTGATTGTAGGAGGATTTACCCTAGAAATGACTATCTGTTTCAACAAGATGGGGCCCCTTCCCACACAAGTGTGGTAACCCAGGTGTATCTGGAGAGATCCACCCCAGTATTTATCAAAAAGTTTGAATGGCCTCCACATAGTCCAGACTGTAATCCAATGGATTACTCTGTTTGGGATTCTCTAAATCAAAAAGTTTACAGTGGTATGAGGGATAAGTTTACAGAACAAACATTAAAAGAAAGAAAATAAGTGAGTTGTCCTCCGTTATTACATTTCTTGCTATGCTATCTTGTATTTGGCGATACTCACATAATGTACATCCGATCAATTCAATATTTTCATAACTTATAGATAATATCCTTATTTTACTTCCTGATAAATTTCAAAATAATTGGTTTTTATCTTGCAGAGTTATAAGAGCTCAAAAAGCGGGACGTTTTTTTGGGACACCCGATATATATATACATCTGTATTTATGTACTTTTCTACTTGTACGTTATTATGTCTATGTAAGTTTTTTTTCTCTTCTTTTGTACATTTGCCCTTAAAGGGAGTATTGGTACAATAAATAAATGATTATAACATTACTGATGAAAAGAAGACAGGGGGTCAAGGGTCTTAAAGCAGGACTAGTCAACATAACGTGAGCATGATCCACTTTGGGCAGAACATACCACCGAGCTCGCTCATACTAATATAGCCCCTTGTGTATTTGCCATGACACTGCCGAGCAAGCTCACGGTATGGTAAATACCCATGTAATAATTGGGGTTATTTAGAAAACAATTGTTTATATTCATCACTGTTTTATAGGTTCTTATCTTCAGATAAAAAGGAAAATTGTTATCAGAAATGAAAATGTAAAGCCATCTGTACTTTAGGGGTAATAGCGTTGAACAAAGTTGACGAGTGCTTGGCCCAATCCCTCTGCATATACGGGCCATATATCACGCAGAAATCTCGGAGACTCAATTTGAATTGCGTCAATAGTCCCGCCATCTCTTGAGCCGTGACGTCTAGTATTGTAACCACCGCTGAAATAGTTGCCACCGTTGGGCCCTGGGAATGTCGGTCCGGGTACTGCATCATATCCCTCGTTTTCACAATCTCCGCCAAAACTTTGCGCGCCACGAAGTAGTTCCTCAAACGTAACGTTGACTTGAGTCGATAGATGTCGTATTGATGATCGTGTGGGGTCAATTTCATCCAAGTCTAGGTTTAGTCCAGTAAACAAGTAACCAAGCTCAATCCAAGGCTCTGGGTGACCATGTCCATGAACATCGATAAATAATCCGGTACCTACAGAGGCCTTCGCGCGATCGATGAACGCATGGAATTCGTCCCATGCTGTGACCGCATCTGGCTCATCGAACGTCGCCTCTTCTCTATCTCTATTAGCGTCCAATTTCCTTCTATGAAGATGATTCAAAATAACGTGTGGTCGGAGGCCGGATATTCTACTTATTTCATCGGCTAGCGCTATGGTCAACTCTAAGGTATACATGTCCTTTACAGTTGCCACGCGGCAATTGCTTTCATCTTTATCTTCACATGCGTGTGAATAAACACATCCAAGATCCACTATGCACCCGGCATCCCTTGTTGGGATGTTTGCCGGCTCGAGATCTCCACCGTGCGGGGCCGCGAGAACGATCTTACTGCCCGCTGCCCCTGGTTGATATTCAATGTAGTCATTAGTTCCCCATTCGGAATCCTGGGCGATTGAAGTCGTAACCAAAGCTGCAATCCAAAGAAACAACATTCTGAATACAACCAGTCAAAATTCCAATAACATAATATGATAAAGCATTTATTTTTAAACATTTTTATCTCATGTTTGAGAGTTCACCTGCTAAAGTTACACAAGATAACAATGGGAGAAGCTAATTAATTAAGTGAACAAAAAACATATCTTGCAAGAATAATTTGAACTTTTTTTATTTGTTCACTTCATATCTGTTTTATTCAACATGATTGTTGTGTATAGATAATTTCAAATTGAATTTGAAAAAATAATAATTTTCAAATTGAAGTTTTGACACGGTAAGCCGTTCATTTGGAATATGACTACCATTATGTTTCGCCATCTTTAAACAAGATGCAAATATTGATTAAGCACATAGACGACGAATTGATTAAAAGATGTCGCTTATGTGTTCAAGAAAAGTGTTGCGTCAATGTTCGCTTTTAAGCCTGTTCTACCAGATCAAACTATTCCGTTTACGCCATTTGCATTGCCAACCATTCTAAGATGACCAGAATTTTCCGAACCAAAAAAAGCTTATCAATTAATCAGTCCTCAAACTCTTAATTTTGTTAACACCTTCAATGTTATCAAAGGCGGATAAATGGATTCTTTTCAATGTATTGATATGGAATGGAATGGATAATAATTTGTTCATATAAAAGTAGTTCCTCCTCCGTCCTTAAATGCAATTTCCATATTGAATGATGAAAACATAACGGATCGGAATCGAGTTAATTTCAAAACAGTTAGCAATTAAAACAATAGCAAGTTCTATTCGATAAATCAAGAACACCTTTGACAGGCAGATTTCTTTGACTAATATTTACCCGTAAGGTACCATAAATACGTCGAAACGCCGCATTAAAATATCCAAAGTATAATATACCAATGACCAGAGCGCAATATTTCTTTGTATAATTAAGGGTTGGACATTACAATAAGGGAAATGGTTTTAGAAGATTGGACTCGAGTAATATTATCTTTAATTTATGACTAAGGTACCTCTCTTTGAATTAATAAAACAGATTTTATACGAAGTAATTTGAAAATAATAAGCAATTCGTCAATGTCTATATAGATGTTCATACTGGACTCACTAGGCATGGATGCTTAATTGTTATTTTATATCTTTGAATCTTTTTTACATTTAAAAATATGTTTCTCAAATTATATGTCTATATCTAATTGTCCATTTATCTACTTGACTGTTTTCCTCAGCTAACAAAGGAGCATTATTATCTGAAGTGACAATGAAAAATTCAACTGTTCAATGATCCAATTGTCCAAAATAAAACCTGCATTTTTAGCGATCTAGCGAGGCGCTAACAAAGATTGTATTTTGTCCAAATCCTTCCGCATCACTTCCGCAATCACTTGGACTCGATTAAATTCCATTGATCAGTTCCAACGTCTTTTGAACTTTGACGTCTACAGGGTACCTGTGTCCTCAGAAATAGTTACGGTATAAACAGGTCCGGGGAATGTCGCAACTTACAGCATTTTTATATAATATATTAATTTAATTATTCAAAGATTTTTAAACATTTCTCTACATTGTATAGGGTTAACCTGCTGCGGGTTTCGCTTACTTTGTTATAATAGTCTTGTAATATACCAAGAGAAATCCTTAATTAATCAAAACTTACCTGATAAAATTAAACAAAGTAAGATGACTGAAAATTGCTTTTGTGATGTAGTTCTTGACTCAATTGGCAGATTATCATCAAACTTTTACAACAAGATTCATATTGAATGAACTAAACAGCTCTAAAATTTCAAGACATAATATGCAAGATTGACCGAATTTGTTATCAAAGCGTAGTCCCCCGTCTGTTCGTCTGTCCGGATATTTACTAGAATACACTGAGACAGGTTTTCTCCATACTTATCTATTAAACAGTGTTATACGCAAAAATATTTATTCGCACTATTTAGTGGAACCGATTTTCTGGTTATATTGGCTTTTGTTGAATTTATATGACTGAAATGTGTTTTGATTTATAAATAGTGTTTTATCAACATACACAAGTATTCGCCCAATAGGGTATTTTTCTGATGTCACTGGAAAATGAATACTTATATAATGGCCTACGGGTGCACTTAACTATAAAAGTATACTATCCGGGGTTCAGAATGACCATGTCCGTGTAGATCAATAAATAAGCGGTACCCAGAGACGCCCTCGCTTGATCGATGAATATGTGATATTTATTCCATGCTGTAACAGCTTCCAGCTTTTGAAACGCCCCCCTTTCGATGCTTCTGTTCGGATCCATTTTTCTCCTATGTAGACGGCTTAAGATAACATGTGGGCGAAAACCGGATATTTTGTAGATTTCATTAGCCAGAGCGATGGTCAACCCTGACGTAAGTACGTTGCGGGGTGTGTCTACATCGCAGTTAGTTGTATCTAGATCTTTCACTCTACAAACATGTGAATAGATACACCCCGTGGTCAGCAACTGCGAACAACCCGTATCTCTATTAGGATGCTATTAGGCTCAGGTGTGGGACTGTGAGAATCATCTCCGTACCCGATGTCGCCGGCTGGTACTCTATAAAGCTGTCATACATGTACCCCCATTGTGAATTCTGTTGGATTGTAATAGTGGGTAGTTGTTCTGCAATTCATATAGAATTGCACATTCACACACTTACAAGAAACCCCAAAATGAAAATTGATATAAAACTTGTGTAAATGTTAAACACTACTAAAACGTTATCAACTGAGGTTCCAGTTGTGATTACAAAGAGTATATGCTCATAAATACCTCACCATTTCAATAAATCTAAATGTGTTGCATATTTATTATTGTTTTTCCAAAAAGTAAAAATATATCAAGCCCGTAACCGCCCCTCCCCCTGGCCAAAAAATCTTTTAAAATTATGCCGTTTTTCACCATTTTGAGCAGTTTTCAAGTGATTTGGGTCTTTTTGGGCCAAGGTTATCAAAGGTGAACCCCTTGGAAATTTTTCTCAGATGTGAACCCCATATTTTTTATATATAGCCGTGTCAAATTCAGAGAATCAATAGTTCAGGAAATGACGTAGATGTCGTAGCAGACGAAAGGTCGTTTGGTTTTGAGTACAAACTCAGTTGCATTCTGGTAGCAATAGTCCGTAAAGATTGCCATCAAAGTTATTATATTGTTGATTGCTTCAACATTTTTGAACTGAAGTGTTTCATTATAATTGTATTCCTTTCTAATGCTAATTTTATAGATAATATTGATACCATCTTGTATCTTGTTTCAAGATGTTTATCATCAACCGAGGGTGTTGGAAACTCAATTTTGGCACTAAAGAACAGTAAAATATTTTCACCTATTTTGATTTAATCGTTCTTATCAACTGAACGTTTTGTCATGGGGGCGGAAGGGCGTCACTGTTTGAACTAGTACTTTCAAAAGAACCTGAAAACGATTCAACATATTCGGAAACATAGTCTCACTTTCTTATACCCTGCGCGCAGAGTGTATACGGAACTCTGTTTTAAGTAGCGAAGTCGAACGAATGCAAATGGTAACTTTCTTATTTTTTTTAATTTTGATTTAATTGCTAATCTGACCTTAATGTAAAAAAATATTGATGAAAGAGCCTGGGTGCCAGGCTTCGTGATACTGCTATTATAAATCAAAAGTTCTTGAATTATTCAATTTCCCTTATCTTTTTTCGGAAACTAAATTCACTCTTATGAAAATGAACGAGTATCGGGTCATTATAGTCTTTAATGTGTATGTCCGAGGATATCCAAAGAAACCTTCATTATAAAATGCACGATACGGCATAAAAACATTTAACTGGCATTTCTGAAAGGAATAAAGATCTAAACCTCTCGATTTTTAACAAATAGCTTTGTAAGAACTAAGAATAATGCTCAATTTATGAACTGCGCGTGCAATTATTTCATGATCAGTCGATTATATTGTAGATGATCTTATCAAATATTTGATGTAAATTGCATCCCCGGGTCAGGAAAATCTGATACCCCTGCTTATATTCCCCTCTCCTTCATTATTTCTTAGATATCAAAACATAATTACTGCCCCAGCGTTTATGTTATGTTTATCTCGGTGAATTTAATAATGCTTCTGGTTTTCATCTTTTGTTGTATTTAATTACGGTCAATTTCAATTTAAAGGAGTCTTGTGTTTAGGGTTCAGGGGGTCGACCCTTGTTGTGCAAACTTCGACACAGAGGTCGAGACCTCCTTGTAAAACATGCGACAAGTTGACATTTATTGTATCAATATTTTGTTGACTATTTTTGCTACCTTAGTAACTACAGCATAACTGTCAGGGGCGTAGCCAGGTTTCAGTCAGAGGATGCAATCGCCAAAGAAATTCGGTTTTCAGTCGGGAGGTGTGATCGTGGCATAAACAAACGAAAAAAATTGATGCAACTTGCTTCAAATTGAGCTAGAAGCTTCAAAGAAAAGCATCTTAAAGCTACGCATATGACTGTTCTAAAGTCTCCATAATATAAATATTTATTCTAAGAAGCTATAATTATTGTCGAGAATACGGTCCTTTTGCTTATTGCGGATTAATTCCTGGGAAGTGAAAAACTGTCGTTGCTAAAAAAATTGTTTAGTTCGCTGTTCATGACAAGTCTGTGGAAAAATGGAAGATCTCTATTCATTAAGTCGGAGATAATAAAATAGAAAAATATTCTTTCATATTATGAGCAACGTTGTTCATTTTGTTGACAGCGTAATTGAAATATTCCATGGTAATTACTTTTTTGTGTAAGAAAATGTAATGAGTACCAGAATGCGACTTTCCAAACAAGTTTACCAAACTTTGAAAAGAGCAAACAATAAGCTCCATTATCATACTATTAATTGGCACACTGGCCATATGCTTACAGACATAAAAGACACACCAGTGGGCACAAACAATCGGACATAAAAGACACACAAGTGGGTACAAACAATTGAATACAAATGTGACTAGGTTATCTGGTGTCGAGATCCAGACTGTTGGTTCACTGTTCTCTCGAAGTGTGTCGATGCCATCTAGGAAGCTAATTCACACCCGTAATTGAACTGCAATTTATTCCAAATATAATTTGGGAGCACAGGAACTTTTTAAAACTTAAACACAACAGATTTAATGACCGGGTAATGGCACGACTACCCTTTATGTATATCAACCATATATTTTTTCAAATTACCAAGCATGCCCAAAATCTAATCTCATCTGATTTTCAATTGTAAAACTTCTAAGTCAAATGAAATAACCTTTGTTTTTCTGTCTTGATGATACGATTGTTACAGTCTGACGTCCGCCCATCCGCCTGCACGCCAAATAGCACAAGACAACGAAAATACATGTATATATCGGCAATTCCAAGTGCGGTAAAAACTCAAATACAGTACTGTTGAAATCAAAAATTGACTCACCTCGAAACAATGTATAACCTTGTTGCAGAACTTTACTCGGTTTGTTCTCTAACATGAGTTGACATAGGAATGTCGAATTTCCTTCATGATATTTTAAATTGAAAGACGCGCATCCCTTTTCTGCAAATGTCGCACATATTAATGCACATTCGTCCCTGATATTAACATTTCTTGTTTCAAAAACGCTTCCAATTCCCCTCGTGTTTACTTTCCCCCGAAAGACTCTGGCGTTCGCACCAGTAGCGGGCGTCCCTCTTGTACTATATGTCAGAAACGGATACAGAATCAATGATGCAACTTTTAGAAATTTCAACATATTGTTACGTGTAGCATCCTTTTCAGCCAGTTTCAGATAACAAGAGATATAATGTATTCTGGTCTGGAAAGAATCTAAAGTCTATTTAGTATTTATTTCATAAATGTTGTATTTAGCTAAATAGTGTACACATATAACCCATTAAACCGACCTAATGTAACCAATACAATACAAATATGATTTGTTAATTGCTTTCTATCTCTATGGCTAGAGCATCACAAAATACGCGCATGAGAATAATAAAAACCACATGATATAAATAATGAATATCATCATAAGATAATTATATCATAAAATATTTCTGATCATGATTTGTCGTTACAAATACATCTGGGTTTCAGAAGAGTCAGCAGATCAATTTACATTTTGATCTACTTTTGGCAGATCTTATTTCCCTAAAATGATAATTTAGCACCAATAACAATATTCACAACTTTTTTTGTAAAGGGTGTGGGTAGTATTGTTATGTTTCCAGTTAATGTACACAAGTTATATTGCTCAAATCAAACTGTTCTGTATAAAAGTGAAAGTGAAAAAACGAAGCATATGATCACACAAAAATAAGACTTATTGTGAAGGAAATTAGTAACCAATCCAAATGGTGAACTGGGAGCAACTGAAACCTCACTATAAATCAAGATGGGGTGAACCATCGTTGAAAAACATCTAACCTCCCGGGAAAATCACTCCCGGGAGGTACACCTGGTTGTAAATCAACTTTTTACTTTTTTTACTTGTTATTACAATCTTATGATGAAGATATCACTAAAATAGATAACCGCCTGCGTACTGAATCTTCTTTATATGTATACAAACTACAAATGGTAGAGGGAAAGCGCTAGTTGCGCACTTCGCGTAAATACTTTTGTCGGGCCGGTCTGACAAACAATTGCAAACTACAGATAATTGAAGGCCCAATTACTACAAAGGGCAGACAACCAATCACCATTATTCTGTTTGAATCAGACATATGTTTCACGACTCTAGGTCTTCAGAGTATGTTTTTCTTTATAATTGTTAGTGCTAGACGAGTTTAGTTTGACGAGAGACGTTTTAGTAAAATAAATCAAACGAAAGTGCCACGCACTTTGTGTTACATCCTTCACAATGTGTCTATTTTTGCGACTATTATGTAAAAAACGAGCTAAATGAAAGTCTTAGAAACGCATCGCTTTTTGCATTCAGACATAAGAGTGACACACACGTCGCATTATGTTAATGTTTTGTCCAAAAACGATGTTCGTGTAAATCTAAAGCAGCGATGCATGGCTAGTATACAATACATTAACATTACACCGTGTGTAAATTATATATAATACGGGTCGAAACACCATTCTGATATTAAATCCGTAATGATGGTACGAACTTTAGAATCATAAAATAATTCAGCATCGGATTGACAAACTGAATAGAAATTCGCTTAACGTTATAAAACAATAATGTTACGTAAACGTCTGGAAATGTTTTGTGAACGTTCATGTCGTTTATTATGTCGCTCGATGGCTAATCGAAGGGATACAAACAATATATTTATAACAAACGTGTGTGGTGAACTGAGGACACTCTTTGTACAATAGGCTCATTTGAACTGTAATTAGAATGTTCTCTCGTAAAGCAAACTTCAAACCAGCATCATTCGCTAGATTCGCATGCTAATAATTACGAAATGAGCTACAGACGAATGTTATTATTTTCTCCCCTGGCTTTATTGTTCCTTAATTGTCTTGCAATGATTAAACTTTCATAAATAATTTCATCTGCCTTTGCCGGTGTTGGTCACGAGTCGGCACACTCAGCCAATCTGAGCGAAGATAGGTATTTTGTTCGAAACTTCGCTGCTATTTAACGCACTTCACTTTTCTGTGACAGCCAGTGAAAGTGAAAGTCGGGAATGCACGCAGTCGTACAAACCACAATAACATAGACATTGTATTCATCTACAGGTGATTGCGACTATTGAATATCATAATCATTTGGAACGGCCGAAACAATTTATAAAACTTGATATTGCGAAATTAGGAGACTTGATTTATTTCATTTAAAAAAGCAATCTCTTATTCTTTTAAAACCTCGATTTGAAGACAACAAATGAAATGACTGGGTATCAATCACCAACTTCGAGCTTAGACGAATTGGTGCACGGGAAGTCATGTCTTTATAGCGGATCGAGCAACAGCAGTTACAGTGATTCAGAGGGAGACGCCATGGAACAATTCCTCGACCAGATACAACCGATCTATAACGCACATCAAACTGCGTTGTGCGCGAGAAACGGAGACACGAACAGAAATACTACGCAATTCGCGCATTCTATGAATGTTGCTCCCCAACAACAACCCCTAAATGCTTCAAACACCCAGATGAGGGAAACGAACAATAAAACTTCCAAGAAGAGGAGCGGTAAAACCTACAAGCATATTCCACATAGCGAAAAAGCGCCTCAGGTTGTTGCGAAAAGAAATGCGCGAGAGCGACGACGCGTGCAAGCAGTTAACGGCGCGTTTATTCGATTACGCCGACACGTTCCATACGAGAACAAACACAAGCGGCTATCTAAGGTGAAGACTCTTCGTTTCGCCATTGAATACATACACTATCTGAAAACCATGATCCACGACTACGATGACCAACTTACACGAAGCTGCAGACACACTACGCCACACAGAATCCAAATGGCAGAAATAAATTCATCCGCAAAAGAAAATAATGCACAGTGGCTTCCTGTTGAAATGGTAAATATTATTTAAATGTTTAGAATACAATACCACTAATTTCAAATTGTGGAAACATGGTTTTAGATTGTTACATGGCCAAATTGAGAGAGTCTAACCTTTTCCTCATTTACCTTTTCTTCATATGCACCATTTTGCGGAATTGCACGTGTAGTTTTCCATCTGTTGATGGATATGTATCTCTACGTTTACGCTCTTACTGTGCATTCTTAGCAATGGCAATCATGCAATATGACTTACATAGATCTCCATCACTCGTCTGTAGACGCAGGTCACATTGATTTGTTGCAACACCATTGTTCACTGATTCGCGACTTAGTTGACAGCCCATTGTAAAATCCTGATCTCTGTTATTTCGTCCGCCTGATCATATGTGCCCTATAAACAAACGTTTTTATAAATGTTACATTACATATAAATGTTTTACAAACCTACATTCAGTTGCTTGGGTAACCAGTTTGTCAGTATCAACATTGTGATGTCATTGAAATCACTCACATTTATATCCTTAAAACGAGATACAATACATGAAGACTATTACCAGCCCAACAATTAGCTTTGACAAAATAACAAAAACAATGTCCATTATAGTATTGATAAAATTATATTCATAACAAGAGCACTATTGTTAAGTTCCGGCTATTTTTAGGAAGTAATCCCGCGAGGTATGACAACAAAGTACAGGGTGATTCCAACGCTTTATACTTTATGCTCACTCTGTAGATTTATAAATATAAAGTCTGAAGACAATTTCACGTGATATGAACATATAGACAATCTAAAATTGAAATTAATAAGCTCATTGGCCATGCTGGTACTATGATACACATCGAAACAGTTGCCAACATTTCAATTTCTCACTAGTGAGTACCATAATCCACAGATGAATTGATGAACTGTCCGATCAATTGATTAGATAAGTGGATATCGTGCACTGTACTCTGTTTAAATGTTTTGAATTTTTAATCAAGTTGACACCTCATATATTTTCAACACGTGCCTACATGTCTATTGAGTTCTTCATGATACAATGATAGGAAAACGTAATTGTCACGAAATAAGAAATATTATTTAAATGTCCTCGAATAGATGTTTTGAATTTTTAATTAAGTTGGCACATCATATTAATGTTTAGCTGTAGGAGCGTGACCATTTATCTTTTTATGGACATACATATAAGAAACGTTGAATTCACATCGACAAGACACGCAAGACGTCATCAAGACGATGGTCCGTTAGGAAGTCTAGTGTAGGCTAGATAGCCGATTTTTTTTTATATAGATTATCAATAACAATTTTAACTTATGAGAAAATTGAATTTAAATAAGTGAGTTAATTACTTTTAGTCTAATGGTTCCGATGGATCTTAAATAAACATATTCTGTAGTATTTATACCGTTTTAGCGTCTGTTTTGCATATATATATAAAAGTCGCATTATTATATCATCATAGAACATTATGCACTGAATTCTTTTGGAATTCTACGTTAGCAGCTATTTAGATACTTCTGCTTGTGCATAATTGAATAAATAAAGTCGTCTGATCAGCCATTAATAAAGGTGATGAATTTTGCAATCACACCCGCTATTGTCGCTTGCATCAATATTTAATTAAGCCTAATCAACTCTTCATTATCTTCCCTGTTCTAACCCCCACAAAATGCACATCTTAAAGTATTAACAATGCTCGCGGTATAGAATTGAAAAATATCGAAGAGTTTTGTTTACTTTAAATAAATTCATACTCCAGCGAGCATGACAGCGAATAAAGCATGAATTCTTTGTGGGTATTTTACATTCACGATGCGCTTTTTGCGAAAATGCAAGGTAAAGATTTCCCGATTTAATAGGCTCTTGAATCTTTGAGAGATAACTAGTTAGTTTCCTGTCATGAAACAAGACAAATTAGACCAATAATCAATGGAAAAGACAATAATTTTACCAAACGGAATCACTTCAAAACAAAATATCAAGTGCATATGGCCGGTTCTCATCCAGTATCGGAAATTGCTGCTAAAGAATTTAATCACCTTTGACTTCACGTTTTAATCAAGAATAAAACTTAACTGATCAATACATGCGCGCTGGTGCAATCATCTGAAATCAAAAAGCGCGACACAAGAAAAAACTAAACAGCGCGTTCTACTCGCAGGAGTATGAATTTATTTTAAGTAAACGAAACTCTTCGATATTTTTCCAAAGGAGAAGCCAAAAGGTAAAATGTGTCATATAATAGTCGATTTGTAGTCTATGTATATTTTAAAAGTTATTCTCTATATTTAGAGATCGAGATAGTAAGTTAACTGTTTTTACACATACAAAAAGCGTATGAAAATATATTTTATCTAAATTATTGACACTTATTAGCTTCATGTTGAATATCTCAGAAGACTGCCTTTTATCTAAATTTAGTTTTTTAGATACATTATTTCCAATACTACTCATAGTACCAACAAATGTACTTGGGTTTAAAATGATAAGAAAGTCATCAAATATCAAACAGTCCTATTATTTGGAGTTTCCTATTGTTCGTTTTTTGGTCAAGGGTACATTTATCCCAGTATGCAGATCGCACTGGCGTTTTCCTCAAATATACTACTGTAGCTTTTGTTTACAGCGCCTTGTAATTAAGAAAATCTATATTTTGATATGTATGAACTTAATTAAGTATTTGTTAGAATTGATAGAGACATCACACGTGTTACTTCTAATAAAGTGGGAACAACTTGAGATTCACTATCTATATAATGTTCATATTTCAATAATATGACTGTTTAACTTTATTAAACTGTTGATGTATACGGGTTATATTATATTATGTTTATCAACTGTATATGCTGTGGTATAATTGATAATTGGATATACTGACCTGCGCAGAAATGAAATATAATTGAATGATATTCATATAATTATATAAATATTACAAGAAGCGATCATCATCTTTGGGAAGCGATCTTATGTATGATATGATATGATCCTTTATTTCCTCCAATTTGGAGAGCAAACATAACAATAAGTTGCTTATAGTTATCTTGGAGCTTCAAATTTTATGCCTGCCCTGGAGGATAAAAATGTCGGGGTTCACACAGTGTCTATCTGTAAGTCTATATAACACCCCAAAGTAGATTATGATGCAAACGTTTGTTTATATAACTATTGCAGCCTTTAACTATCACATAGAACGTAAATAAATCACCTAGGTGATAAAAGTTTTAAAACGTACAAAATGCATGTATTACACACACGCGCTTACATGAATATTTGAAAATGCAAATTCAAGTCTGCTATGAATTTATAAAATATTGGGGTATTTAGGGTCAGAAATAGGCACTGAGCCAATTTAAGTAATCACAACTCTATTAAAAATATTGCTTTTTGATGCTTTGATGTATTCCAAAATGAAATTAGAATTCGTCACAAGAAGATGCTCGCGGTATTTAAAACGTCATAATTTTCAACGTTTTGAAAGCGCGTGTCAGAAGTGCGATTCACACGAAACATTCACAGTGATCGCCCCTCCGAGTACACATGTTATAATTACCGACGACTGATTTATATCCAACTTCAACAACTTTTTTTCCAAAAAACATATATCTTAAAATCGGTATCTTTGATCCTCGGGGGAACATTTAAGGATTCTTTTGGAAAAATGCAAAATATAATTTTTGAGGAATCTACTTCTTGTGCTACATTAAATTTAATGAAGTCTTCATTTTGAAGAACTTAAATTAAGTGGGACTTTAAGAGAGTCAATTTGCTGACCGCTATTGTTATAGTTTTTGCCCGTTTGATTAATATAAAAATCGTTTGGTTGATTACTTGGTAAAAGATGTAAAATGTCACTTATTAATCGTTCAACAACAATGGCATTTTACAAGTTCTTGGCGGGAGGTTTTATTTTGATTGAGAAAACGCTGGTCTTTATCTGATAACTGAAATGTGATTATAGTAAAATAATGATATCATTAATTACTTCACGTGGAATAAAATATATTATTGTGTTCCTATTGGGACATTTTTCAAGTGTCATATTTGGAATTTTTCTCTTAATAGGGGACCGATCATTGAATATTAGGGTGGACAGTGTGAAAACTGAAATATCAGACACACGATCGCATGGCTCATCCCTAAGAAATGATTTATCCTTGGTTGCACACGTTTCTAAAAGTTGTTTTAAGTGTTGTTGTCTAAGCACGAATTGAAGCTATCAAAGTTAAAAGTAAACAGATAAAGGATCAATATATAAAAAACTAAGTGTACTTGTTGATAGCTTATAGTTCATGCTGGTACCTCTATCAAAATCCTCTTGAGTATGCCAAAAGTTAATTTATGACATTTTATTGTCTTCTACGTTATGTCCAACACTTCATTTGATGAATTTATGTGCACTATAACGAAGATAACGACATGCTTTTGTCACAGACGACACACTGATTTATAAAAGTATTTCATGTAAAACAAAGTGATTAATCATTTTGTCGATAACAATGTGATTGTAGAATTTCTTTGAATTCAACTCTTAGAGTTACTAATTCTTCAATTTGATTTTGTCAAGATACAACTGACACGATTTCTATTGTTATTCCATTGGTCGTACCAGGCCATTTCTGACACAGATATTTGCTTTTATATAATGCACCTTTCTCGGACTTCTTGATATAATTTTAACCTGATGTAGATTATTACTGATAAGACTTGGGGAGATGTTAAAAGTGTGAAGTCATACATGAAATATACAATGTTAGGTTTAGGGGAGGTTTGACACATTTTTTAATTAAGTACTTAATCTCGTAATTGTTTGTCTTTTTTCATTTTTAAAAAAGATGAGGTAATGACACTTTTATATCCGAATTTGAAATGAAACTAAATAAATTCAATACTATATTTACTCTGCCAAAATAGATGAATTATAATGCAGCATCTGCCTTTTTATTATATGAGCACTGAACTAGCCTCAATAAAGATGGGTTTTCTTAAAATATTTTTTAACTTTAGGAAAATAAGAAAGATTATGATCAAGAGAGATTTTTTGGCATTGCTGTAGGGTTTCGTGACCAAGGCAAGACCATTAAAAAGATGATATTAAAATTAGTTATCTGACTTTTAAAGACTAGTGGACACGCACGGGTCATTAAGGTACCAAAGGACCCACAGCCTGTTTAATCTATTAGAAAAATAGACCACAAGATAATGTCATTGATTTCGATCTCTTCCAATTATGTTTAAAATATATAGCTATAAAACGTTTGCGACTATATACTAGGATAGATAATAACTCGGTATTAAAGTGGAAGTCCGTCCTAGCCCAGAACTCTATGATTTATAAACTTCTGATTAACTAGCTTTTTCGTGGCATGCGATTTAGAGAATTAACCATACGCCTAGCGTTGCGCATGTTTTATTCTTAGATTCGTCACTATTTTTTCGCAAATTTAGCTTTTAAAAATATGTCTAAATGTGATAGAATCAAGCTGTAGAACTGATAATTTAAGTTATTATATATGGAGGCTGGTTATAGATACGCAGACATCGAGTTATTTTAAAACCTGCACTTACCTGTGTCATTAATTTTACATAAAACTTGATGTATGACAGAAAAAGAAACATATTTTATTTGTCAGTTTTCTTAGATTATGGTCTGCTATTTACCATCTAATTTCTAGGAACGTATACTTAGAAATAGAAAAAACTTTACAGAGACTGCCCGGGGTTGACATCATAATAACACTTTAAGAAGATAATATGTAGTTTGGGGGAATGTGTTTAGGACAATGATGGGTTTCTACACAGGTCCCGTTATAACGTAAAACAGTTAAAGACAGGTGGTTGCCAAAAGGCGAAAATCAAAACAAAATTTTAGAGGAAATTCAGTCATTTTACACATCATGTATTCTAGATGATGTGAGATCTTTTTCTATTTTTAATTGTAATACTTTCCAGTAAGCAAAATGTGTATTCCGTTTGCATTAATCTGAAATAACAGATGTGCAATGTTGCAAGGGCATTGCACATAGCTACAGTATTTGCCACTGTCCCTGATTGTCAGTATGTTAATGTGTTCATTTCTTTTTAATTTGTAGTTAAATGTTCAGAAACTGTTTTAAGCTTGCTCATTTGACCTATGCACCTGAACATACGTTTATGATAATAGAGACCATTGGAGTTTAATTTGTTAAAAGACATCTGTCTCCACTGAGATGGTCGGATAAACTCTTCAGAATCTACTCAGTTATTAAACCAATAGAATCCCTTGTCAATATTATTGTTTAACGTTAAATAATATATATAGTAATGTCCCTCTAGCACCCTGGCTTAGTGAAGAAAAACGTTCTAAACAGGATCCCATTGTTTTCCGCAATCGCTTCATTGTTCTTGAATTTCACAATATCTGCAAGGTTCGGAGCTTTATAATTATGACATATGACGAGATTTTAAACCGTAGTTTCTCCATTGGAATGCTTCTTATAGGTTTATTTGAAAATTCCTACATACTATGTTATTGGTGTTGTCTTACTTTTTGGCTCACACAGTGAGCCTATGGGATCGACCAGGCGTCCGTCCGTCAACATTGGCCGCACAAATTAAAACTACTATTCGGATTTAGTCATATCCACATTCATTTTATGCATATCCATAATGCCTATTTGACCTTTTATCGCCATTTTCCAAGTTCGCCCGGTTTCCGAGAAATTGCTGATTTTTACGTCAAAATGATGTAAATACTAAACACTTTGTTGAAGTAGAACTTTGAAATAACTTGTAGTAGTTGCTGTATATGCAACTTATGTTCTCTGAAGATTTCAAAGCTCTTGAAATAACAGTTTTTGTTGTTTACTCTATAAAATTTGACAAAAAGTAGGACTTTGTCATTTTCAGGGAACTTCATGTATCAAATTCAATCATCATTGGTTGCACAAAACACTGTGTGAGCACAGGACCGTTGGTCCTTTATTAATTGCATACAGTCGAATGACAAGTGTCTAACTTGTGCTCAAACTGTACTCTTTTTATAATAGTTTACTTTTTGTTTCCAGCCCCAGCAGGTTGCTAACCAGGGTGAGTATTATAGTTACGACATGCCATATCACCATCACTACCACCAATAGCTAGAGCGAACCAATCAAAGCGACGACATGCTATATCACCAAGACAACCACCGGTAACACAATCTGGACGAGGCCAGAGTATCATAGCTACGATATGCGATTTATCCGCCATCACTACAAACAATATCGTGAAACCATTGAAGCAACTACACCAAGACAACCGCCGGTAACTGAACCAGGATGAGAGGAGCGTGTTTTAGCTACAATATGCCTTATGACAAAAGTGCAAAAGCATGAAAGTGACGACAAGACTACCCGACCAAACAAAAATAGGGGAAATGTTAGGATGCATATACGTGTATCATATGTAAAGATATGTCTGCCGCGCCTTGCCAATATTGAACATTCATAGCATGTATATGTTTTATATTTATTTATCCTAAATTCAGTATAAAATTTGGTGAACAAAGAGGTTTATATATATTTTATTATTTTGAATATATTATGATTCGATTACGAAAAAACGTGAATAAATAAGGTCTATAGTATATGTTTTATATATTCTTAATAAAATATATTTCGAATGCAAAAAACACAATAGATGAATAATTATTTTAGTAAGATTCATGCTTATTTTATCTGGATAGTTTGTTTTATGTCATATGGGTACAGTCTGTAATTCAGCGTTTATTTACCCAATTCTGAGCTTAAACAATGAACGTTTTGAGTAATACGTTCTACGTTGAAGTATAGACTACAGTAAAACATGTCTCAGTGAACACCTCTCTCTATTGAACACGTGTCTCTAGTGGACATACATCCTCTGCACATACTGTACTGACTTCTGTATAAATTACCCTCTCTGTAGTGAACACAATACTGGACGTTTTTTTCTTGGCATATATTCAATATACACAGGTTTTACTGTATTTATAATGTTACTGAATTCCCCAAAACTAAAAATCAAACATAAACAGGCCTTAACGTCATCCTAATTTTATAAAGGGGTTTATACGATACGTACTCTGTTATTTTATTTTGTTAGTGTATATAAATGAATAGTTTGTTAATTATGTATTTGTTAATATGTAAAACGTGTATATATTTAAAATAAATATCATTTAAATAACTATTAGATTTATATTGTTTTTGACGTGTTCATGGGATTATTTGACGTTTTGTTTTTAATGATGTGTTTTAATTCAAAGTCAATACTCCCTGGAACAATTAGATGAAGAGCTACAGAAAAAATAAAAATGCAATTTAAAATTTATTCTGCTTCGAATAAGACAAATCGAGTATCATCTCCCACTGTTATGAATAATTAAAATAACGAAATTGATTAAGACATTACTTCAGTTCTATGTTGTCAGTTCACGCAATGCGCAGGTGAAATATTTCCCCTAATACATCATCTAGTCCTCGGGCAATTATTGAGAAGTAATATCATCAATATGAGAGAACTTAGAAGCTAATTTCTCGACAGGAAAAGTGACATAGGCAAATTAAGACAAAAGAAGCTTTGATTATTAGACCATAAGACTCATAACGGTTGTTGAATTCTGTTATGTAATAATGTTGTCATTTTGACCGACCGTTTTCATCACCATGATTCATTTTTGAATAAGACAATTTATCTGGAGATCAACCAAGTATTTAATTCGATAGATCGGTTCCATTCATTCTAGGCCAGCCTAGTGTTCTGCTTGGCGGAAATGGACTACAAGGGATAAAGATACAAGTCTCGTATTTTTTGTTTTCAATATTCCATAGTCTATACCATGGCTTTTTTCTAAAAAGTACCACATTTCTGATTTCTGAGGTTTCCTTGACAAACTACTGAAAATAGAGACATCCTGTTTTCAATTTTCTGAATTTGACATTTCTGTATCTCAGCCTTCAATAACTCATTATCTCATTTTTTCAGCAAACTAGATTAGGGTAAAGGAAAATCGTGGTAAATATGGTATTTTGAAAAGATTACGTCAAACAATTTTCGCTCTCAGTTCCTTCTCATCCATTTAATCTAAAATATAATTCGAAAACAGCAACTCCAAGGTATAACAAATCCCATCGAACAAAACATATTTCCTTAAATACCTCGTTATTATGCACACTAGAAAACAGCAACTCCACGGAGTAGCAAATCCCACAAAACAAATCGGCTACCTTTAAAACTCCTTGAACAGAGCTACTTTGTCCCAAGTGTTCAGCATTTACCATTTGAACCAAATCCGTCCACTGTTATTGAGTTATCAAAGATTATGTTATTGTACGAAAGACGTAGGACATTTTATTAAAAAATGGTGACAAGCTATCATCTTTAATTTTTTTCTCAGCCAGAGCTCGTTTGTCCCTAGGCATCAGTATATAAAATTTTGAACCAAATCCGCCCATTGGCATTTGAGTTATAGAAGATTACGTTTTCTACGAAAAATGCACCCATTTTGAAATTTCAATGGCCATCTTGAAAATGAATTTTGAGCAGAGCTCCTTTGTCTCTAGGCATCCGCATGTACAATTTGAACTAAATCCAGCCACTGATGGAATGGAGTGGATATATTGAAAATTTCTTCTCGAACAGAGGTTCTTCAGTCAAATGGCATAAGCTCATAATAAAATTTGAATTTGAAGTCTGTCGATTGGTATTGAGTTATCGCGCGCCCAAACAAACAAACGGACAACCGGACGGACGAACGGACTGCTTCTCTATATCCTCCTCGAACTTCGTTCGGTGCAATAATTTAAATACATGTCGATATGTTTATAGCAAGATAGATGAGGTTGATTATACGATATAGAATTGTGCCCTTGATGAAATATTACAATGATCATGTTTTGGATTTTCCTCAGTCGCTTTCAACCATGTTTATAACTCTCGCCGTGATTAAGTATAAACATCTACGGTGACATCTATTGTACTGAGAGAAAAACATTTTAAGTATAGTACCGACCAAACTCTATAGAGCTTATACGCCATCTTTATAATATCATGAACTTAATTCTGCAAACTAGAAATTTAAATAATTTTTAGCTGCAGAAGTGACATCTTTTTGAACAAACTTACTTTTAAGTTAAAATATCTATGATTGTAACACTTGCCTCCATTTAAAAAGTGTTTGTCCACGTTCTTCTTATGATCTAATTATTTCATGCTGTAATTTACTCATACAGGTACTGTCCCTTATCGATCTGGGATGTTGTGTTAAAACATATTTCTACTTCAAAGAGTTACATCATCGGTTCCTACAAGGCTCTAAAATAGCATGGGGGTTTAAACTCCAATTGACCTTCTCATATCCCTAATTTTCCTAATACAGCTCAACGTAGCTCCTTTTAACCGCCGAGCAAAGAGACGATATTTAGAGATTTAGTACCGTTGTGAAAGAAACGATGGTCCCCCAGGGATTATGGTACCCTTTCTTAACGGCCCTTAATGGCCCTGATTGCGTAAAAGATAATGAGAGAAAGAGTTGTATTGAGGTCACCATATAAATCAATGGAGAGTAGGACCATAATTTGAGAGGGCCTTCTACCCTTTTACACCGGTGTGAAAGAAATCATGGTCCCCTTTTTAAAGGCCCTTACTGGCCTTGATTGTGTATAAGATAATAAGAGAAAGAGGCAACCATATAAATCAATGGAGAGTAGGACCATGAATTAATAGGACCTCCTACCCTTTTACACCGGTACATGTATATACACACATAATTTGGCACTTTTCTATCATTATCTTTAGGGACAGTATACCTAGTATATTAACCCACCTTTTCAGCAACAATGGTTGATCAATAGCTACTGTACTAACACATATATTATTTATTGTACAAGATACGTTCTTGTTAAGACCATTATTGGAATATTAATAAATAATAAATGTTTCAATGGCGTAGTTTAATGGTTATTCCAATCCCTATGAAAATGTGTGTTCAAAAAGGTGATCCATTGGTGGATGGGGTGAAGAACACGTGCTAAATCAAATGCCTTATCATCATCACTAACATATACATTGATTGCACATAGTAGTGCATCTCACTCTTATGTTATATATTAACTAGAAAGATAGACATCTGGCACTTTGTTCCAAATGGCAATTATATCTCTCAATTATCACATATTACATGTAATTTCCATTTATTCAGAACTCACATAGCATATATGTATCTGATTTCTTGCTGTCAGATGTCAAAAATAACTATGGCCTACACTTTAGGACCGCGAGGTTTTATGTATTAGCACATGAATACGTGCATGACAACATGATAGATAATTAACAAAGCACGTTTTCACAATGATAAACACGTGAACTATAAACAGTAGCGACACTTTTGGGAAGAGTATAAATCCCAACTATGGGCGTAATTGAAACACTAGCTAAATGTCCTTAGAAGACATATGTATACTTTTAAAGTTAATTTTCTTGAACATAAGCAAAAACAACGGTATCCCCAGTGTATTAATTAACACAATTTCTGGCACACAATGATATGATATTAGCCTCGATTAAAAATAAACAACTGATGACGCACATTGAGTATTATTTCGAAAAACCGATGCGTGAGATTATGTTCACAAGATATGCATACCCCCAACTAGATATTCCCTTTTGAAACAAGAAAATGCTAGCTACGAAACCCAAGGCGAGGGGTCATGGGTTCGATCTGAACTACGGTGGACTGATCTTTTACACATCAGCCATTAGCGAAACATTTCATTCTGTGTTTTAATATAGTATGTTCAAAACAGCATCCAATAAACAATATTTTTCTAAAAACAAAATTCACAAACAGTACTATTAAGGGGAATTATTCGGGTAATCAATAAAGTTAAAAATTCCTAAATTGTTGCTTGCAATCATCGATATAAGGGCGTCTCTGAAAGGGACAATTGTTGACTTAGAAATCTTACTTTTACAAAATGTTATGCCAATGATTCCAGTTTTCATATACTCTAGTAACAATATCCCCGAAAACATTCCAAATATAAAATAATTTAAGTAAAATAGACCTACATACATACTGCATCCTTTCGTAATCAAACATACGTAAACGCGCTAGATATAATTTTTATTATTCTGATATAGGGTTACCACATTTTTAGAATAATCACAAATATTTCGTTTTGCTCCCCTCTAGACATTTAATTCCAAAACACAAAGCGATCTACGTCAGAGAGCTAGTTCCTATATTGGAACTGTAATATGTCTGAAGTATTGCCATCTACGCAATCTAGCCTGATAATGTAGTTATCTTAACCAAGCGATACAGTGTAATAGCTCACGGAGGCAAGCGGCAGTCGCTAATATTGTGCAGTGGTCGATCTGAAGAGGGGCTGTACTCTCAGAAGTCGGAATCACGTAGGTGTTGTATTCGAATCATCGCAACACACCTGATAGCAGTTTCCAGGGAACAACTGACATAGATAATAAAATACATTATAAGAGACTATTCGGAGAGGAATAATACGTCAATTTCCAATCACTTTCACAAGAGATCAGGTATGGCGATCATTGTTATGTGTATATATTATATACTTATGATAAATATTATATTACGAATATTATATTAAACCATTTGACAGATATGTATACTATTACACAGTAAAATATATGTTTATGTAGGAAGAAAATCTAGTTTTTACCAGGTATTATTCAGGGAAATTTTTAAATAGCGGATATCTCTTGCGGATCGATGTGTTTAAATTTATTTTATTTCTGTTTGCCATGCGACACATTGTCACTCAGATTTATTTGCGTATAAGAGGAGATATTTGAGTGTGGAAGGCCATCTTGACTTAATGTTGGCATGTCATTATAATTTTATTTGACGACATTGTGCAATGGATCTGTGAATGAACAGAGAACGTGGACAAAATGATTGATTGCACAAAGGTTACATTTCGAATGTAGATTACTGTGAAATGAGATTAGTGAAGAATGAATAAATCATGCTGTTGGGATATGGCTCTCAAACAACCAAACGTTACAATGTATTGATTGTATTTTAGATTCATTTGAAGGTTCAAACACTTAATAAATAAATAAATGCAGTTTTTTACTAAAGGTTTAAGAATGCCTTTTTCATCTTATGATATTGTCTTGTCCTCTCTTAATTGAGGATGTGATACTTGAGAGTAAAAATCTTCAGCATATTGCACTTCCCTTTTCTACGTCAGCATCTGATTGATAACTGCATTCCGACCATCACCTGAAACTAAGATTAATTTTATTTTATTTGGTATTTCTCTGAAGACAAAGACTTCTCCATTAATGCGTTGCTAATACCGCAATAAAACTATTCCTCTCCTTTATGCCTACCTTTAGAACAATATTCATGGATGAGTCAAGAAGGCACATGAGAGTCGGGAGATTAAAAATGGATTATGCCTTTACATTTAGATAGCTCTTAAGGGGACATACTTTGCTCTAGTTCTTTCTATTATTTTTTTGTTCCGTAAACATTAATTATCACTTTAACCTACGTAATGACAAAGTGAATCTACTGTGCCTCCCACGGACCTCTTGAAGTCAATTTACGTAATTTGAATTGGATGACTGTTTACATAAGGCAATTGCTGAGGTAACATGAGTGAGGAGAAAATATGTTCACTATGTGGCTTAACTTTGGAATGGCAAAATATGATATGATATATGATGATACGAGATATGATGCCAAGTATTCATTTTGATTATCCATATGCTAAAGTGATCTACACATGTGTCCAAGATCCTTGTGTTACGTTTTCGGTTACAACGTTCCACCACGCCATCACTATTGGCATTCCCATGGATGTCTATAAGTGTCTCCATACCTTATAGTATACAATAACATACTTATTTCTTTTGGGGATACTAATGTTGATGTATTGGAACTTTTGTGATGCTAAAATGTCCCGATGGGATATTATCATAACAAATAGCTCAATGGATTGTATAACCCTAATCCCCTATCTTACACTGCAATTCAAATAAAGACTAAATGGTATCCTTTTACTTAGGAATAATATATCAAACTTTTCCCGCGAGGAAGAAATGTGTACTTGTTTGGATATAAAGATAAGGATTACAAAATGGAACTCTTGACGATGACAAAAATGCTATTGTGAAAGTGATAGCTGTACTTATAAATTGTTCCCCCTTTCAAAGGTTAATTCAGTGACTTTATAACAACTGTGTTTTCCTAATTGATTGACACTCAAGCAGGGCCAACTATAGAGCATATAGAGGGATTGCTACCATGGATTGCTGCCATGGGAAACTCTGGCCATCCTTTATACGCTTCGTTTCACAATTTTTTTACAAAAATAGTAATACTACAATTTTACAAGAGTGATTGTGTATGAAATATATTCTCATATATTCTTGTGCGTTTTAAGGTTAAAGACTTTTCTCCTTAATACATCCTCCTTCTACAGCTACATATTATTTTTCCATACTTCCATTGCAGTGGTAATGGTACACATCAACACTCATGTCCCCGCGAGGATAATTATATCCAAGGTATTTGAGGACAGTGGCTTCATCGATTCCAGGACAATTTTCTTTAAGTTAATTGAGTTTTGCAATCAACGACGGGCATTAATCTACCTGCTTAGAGTGTCATTTGAGAACAGTAAATTTCTATCATGGTCATTGAATTCTTTGTTCATCAGTATCTTGACATTTTCATTCTACATAAATTCAAGTGTGAAGATCCACAAATATATACAAAATAAAATACACTGATAACGTTATTTTCTGATTGCTGCTTTGTATAGCATTCTTCTTTAACAAGATACCGTTACTGGGGTCTCAAAAATTTCACGATGACTTTAAAGCAAATTCAAAATTGATATTTTTTAAGGGTATATAATCTTTTCGAAATGGGAAAAAACAAAGGCAACATTCAACACACAAACAAATGCTAACGTTGGTCAAATTTCAACGTACATTTTGTACCTTGTAACTACTGCATCACGTTCTTTGTCTAATTAAAGTCATGTTCACGTTGGTCAAATTCAACATACATTTGCAATTTGTAACTACTTCATCACGTCCTTTGTCTAATTAAAGTCATATTCACGGTCAAATTTCAACATGCATGTTGCAATTTGTAACTACTGCATCACGTTCTTTGTCAAATTAAAGTCATGTTCACGTTGGTCAAATTCAACATACATTTGAAATTTGTAACTACTTCATCACGTCCTTTGTCTAATTAAAGTCATGTTCACGTTGGTCAAATTCAACATACATTTGCAATTTGTAACTACTTCATCACGTCCTTTGTCTAATTAAAGTCATGTTCACGTTGGTCCAATTTCAACATACATTTGCAATTTGTAACTACTGCATCGCGTCCTTTGTATAATTAAAGTCATGTTCACGTTGGTCAAATTTCAACATACATTTGTACACCTTGTAACTACTGCATCACGTTCGTAGTCTAATTAAAGTCATTCTTGTTCCCACATGCTGCCTTAGAGTATTGATACCACTTGTTATGTGTACATGTCCTTCCCCGTAAATATTATCGGTGCTCTAATGAAAGAGCATGCAGCGCTAGCGGGTGTATTCAATCAATGTTCTCAATCGATCGTTACTTAATAACATTAAGGAACACCCACGCTATCCTATATATCATCATCTCACATTTGATTGCATAATGCAAAGTAAGAATTGGATGGATCCATACTGCTTAATTCATTAGTTTATCGGAGAAAGCTATTTTGGATATTGGCACAATAAATGGACATTGTGAAACAGAATTAACACTAGATAATCAATTCAATAATTTATTTTTCTGTGCTACATTTGGTACCAATCCAGTAGCGTAGGAACAATGTAAGCCAAAACACCAATGCGTACAGTAGTGTTGCTAAAAGCTAGAATAAAAAGCTTATTAATGTTCTTTAGTCATATTTCCTCATTGCTAATGAATTGTTAACTGATCTCTAGCACCCTAAAGAAGTGTTTTTAGACAGCATGTAATTTGTTCAATTTTTTCAATAGTACTTTCTGCAAGTTTTTTGTGCATTCAATTCCAACATGCTTTATTTCATGAAAATCGATTTTAGTTAATTTTTGTGCATCTTCCGTTATGCTTATGTAAACTGTGGTACCAGAATTACAATTCCTCTCTCGATTTTAGATATAGCTTAACAAATACTGTTTAGACTGTTTTCAGTTTTTTTCAAAATCATCTACAAGTTTTCAGAAGTTCAAATCTGACTTTATATTTAAGATTTGACCTTCAGTGACCTTTTCAAGGTAAAAAAGGGAAAAGGTCTTTTTTCAACTTGCTTCATATCGACTAATTGTTTTTTCAAAATCATCTCCAAGTTATCAGAAGTTCAAACCTTCTCAAGGTCAAAAAAGTTCAAAAATGTATTTTTCAACTTGCTACAAATTGACCTATTTTTCTCAAAATCATCTAGAAGTTCTGAAAAGTCAATAACATACTCATGGTCAAAAAATATTTGACCTTCAATGACCTTCTCGAGGTCAAAAAGGTCTTTTTCAACTTGCTTCAAATTGACCTTTTCCAGTATTTTTCAACTTGACTACAAGTTCTCAGGAATTCAAATGTGACTTAAGATTGAACTAATAATATTGTGAGCAACTAAGTGGTGCTACCTACCCCCGATTTTTCCATTTCACTAATTCAATCTATATTCCGTTGCTATGTGGTTGCTAGGGAAAATCATGGACCGAAATTATGTTGAAATGATAATAAGTCAGCATTTATCTATTATAATATAACATCACCAATTGTTATTGTTATTTGTAGTACTTCTTGAAATATGAATGTTAATGACAAAAACAAGTTGAACTTGTTTTTGTTTATTACTAGTATTCAGTTATGCGTTCCATTGATTTCAATAAATTTTCGTGATGCCTGCTATCTTTGAAAGTACATAACTTCAGTTCGAGGAAAGCAATTACCCTAGTTTTTATTTCATTTGAAAGATAATAGATTATTGTTTAAGGAAATAAAGCATTTAGACACCAATAATTATTTTGAAAGGAAATTAACAATGTATCACAAAATGTCATGTTGACCTTTGTTAAGGGGGGTTTATTTGGTCTTGCGAATTAGCTGAGTGTTACAAAAAAGGTTGCAGACATTTAAAATCAGTTGTATCCTTGATCAAGGACATGTTTTTATTGATCATACTCGTTTCTTTAATCTGTATTGTCGAGATTTAAAATATCCGCTTTCCATGGTGATTTTATGATGAAAAACATTTGAACATTTTGAGCACATGAGAAAGGTATTACCGTAAAAATTACGTATTACGAGCATAAAATGGGCGTTTTGATATTAAAAGATTTCACACAATTTTTCATATTTTTGGCGTAGTGTTGAATTTACACCTTCCTACAGCTACGCCCCTGCAATCAGACTTATCATTCTTTGCAAAGAGTCAATGACCATTGCTGATTAGAAAGCACAAGAAAAACGTCATACACATCATGGCGTGTCAGCAAATTGATTCTGGATTCATATTAATCAAACCCTTCTAAGAGCTGATATCAATAACAATCGCAAAGGTCCGAATCAAACCTGACAGCCGTAGTCTACTGATGACGATCTCAAATTCAAACGAACACTCATTCCAAACTCCCTATATTTTATTTCTTGTATTGCTAATTGTAATGTCTCTCGATCAAGATAAAGAGTTCCCTTTCTTCTTCTTGACCACTATTTCTTCTTAGAAAAATGAATTGTAATTATTTTTTTCTCTATTCTTACAGCTATCACAATTCTAAACCAAATGACATCCTGCAATACACCTATATTAATTTGGTGCTAATTTCACATTTTGTACTTCAATGAGAAGCTAAAATATACTAAACGGTCCTTTGAGAGAGATCATGTTAATGACGATATGATTGTTTAGATACAATATGGCTAATCGAAGACCAATGCATGATATGCAACCCATACTATACGATCAAAGGCCCTTATAATCTATAGAAAAGAGGTTTAATTTGCCATAGAATTGTCTAATAGAGCGAGGTAATCATTTCATGTAAATGTCACGCCTAACAACAGGAGCTACATGGAGAACTCTGTTCAAAGGATCTAGACGCATAATCCAATGATTAGCAGAATTCCAAAGGCTACTGCAGTGATAGAGCATATTTTGAGGACAATAAAGGGCTCCTACGTACGTATCAAATTATCAATGAAAAATAATCAATTGCAACCAACGCCATAAACGATGAATTATAGATTGATTAAAGCGCATGCGCAGTCAGTACATTTTCGTATTAACTTACCGTTACTCCGTAAACATGGCTTATGTTAGTCGAAATAAATTCCAAGAACATTAGTTAACTGTCCAACTGTCATTTTTGTAAATTCTACAACAACCCAATGGGTAATAAGAGAAATAAATACTAGTAGGTTGAAATAAATAGGTTAAAATAAATAGGTTAAAATGGCTCATGTTTAGCCCTCTGAAGCCTCTGAACATTAATGGAACTCCCTGGACAAGGAATATTAATGTTGAAATCAAAACTGTCAGAGTAGAAAGCAGAGATGCACTGTTTGACCTTGACATATCTAATTTTCGATAATGAAATTCTCTATGAGTGTCAGAATTGGTAACCCTAGCTAGTATCTTATTTTTCGTTGCCAAACTCTGACGAGTCGATCGATTAACCTAAGGTTTCAAACATAACATTTTATCAAGAATACTCAAGACTCTTCAGCACTAAGATGTAATATATTCAAATCGTCTAGGTAGAAATAATCCGCTTTGCTATGTGCTATAATTGCGCTTTGACGCAAGTCTCTCGATTTATCAACAGGCTTTGACTTCGAATAGGCAATTTGTCAGCTTGCAATTAGGGAAAGTGGACGGTGTAAAAAGGAACGGCCAGTATCCTATACTGATAAACGTGATGTTTTGTCGTTAAGTAAGGTTGTGCTCTCGCATGCTTCTACTTGTCTCGTGTACATCCGCCATCTTGTCGAAACCTTCATAACCAACGTCACGTTTTGTTGTTCTCATTTCTAAAGCAATATATCGCTTCATCTTATTTCCCAAACGAGAAATTGAATCTTTATTTCAGTGGGACTAAAATGGTTTAAATGGTATTTAGCGAATTGTATTCAACCCTCTGCATTCATTCGACTTCGCATCTTAAAAGAGAGCTGTCTTGGGATAGACTTTGCGCGCAAGGATGTTGTATTCTAGCTTCGGTCAGGGGGGAGATTTCCCAAAGATGCCCTATCATATTAGCACGTTCGAAAACAAATTTTATAAACAGGCCTCAATTTGCCGTTGAAATGGATCTCCAAATGTTCACTGTAGTTTTATGAGTATTCTCTGCAAGTATGGATCGAGTAACTTCAATAGTATTACCGTAGGTTTGAAATGATGATGTTGAACTGATGTTAACGCCATTCCCACGATTTCAAATTTAACTCTGCGCATGCGCAGCACTTAGAGAGCACGTGCTCATGATTGTTCACGTGATCTAATCCTGCAATTTGATTGGAGATGATGCAAGAGATGATGTAATGGGGAATCCCCGAATACGATAGAATATGAAAGAATTATGGGAGCTACTCACTCCTCTTGAGCTTCGGTGTGAAATTCGTTTTGGTTCTGCCCATATAGCAAATACTTGGCAAGCCAACAATGGGCCAATATTGCCATGTGACGTCATTGACCCCAATCGTTATTATGGCTACTATCAGTTAGAAATATTACTAAACCGATGATTGTTCAGGGTCAATCGAAATCGATTATTGTAAGACTGTTATGGTCATTATTCCCGGTGCTCATTTTTGCAAACGAACGTTTGCACCATCTTCGTTCGCTCGGGTCCCGTCGGTCGAACGCAGTGAAGACCGAGTGTGCGAAGATGCGTTTGAACGGAAGATACTGTACTGAAAAAGTCTCGTTTGAATCTACAGAATATTTGGAGTGTATGTTTGGCGGCTAGTTAAGCATAATGTTGGATTATGGTTGGATTCAGTTTGAAATTAGATTTGTTGTGATCTTCGCTGGTGATTTAATTTTGACCTTCATTCTTCCTGGTGGGTTTGGAAGAAAAAGCCAAAGCTAGTTATGAATCCTTCGTTAATGTACAATATATACAGTACTTGTTAGAATGATGAATTTAATTTGTGGATTCCACTCTGCATGTATGTATGGCAATACATAATTTCGTATTTTCATGATTGCAGGTCGGTTGGACAGTGCAGGCTCACTTGTGTCCTCCTGCCACTTACCACCATGGAGCGATTAATCGTAGTCCTGATGATATGTGGCGCCACCTATTCAGCTCCCGCCCCCGCACTTCAGGAACAAGTGAAAGTTGGTAAGCACGAAGGAGATACATTTACAAATGTGGAAACGAATTCGATATTGTTATCGTCTGAAACATTGGACTCTTCAAACACAAATTGAATTGGGACGAACATTGCATATTTATAACTTGTATTCAATAAAGGAGCTTTTATCCACGGTATTGCTTGAGCAATATAACTGCAAGGTTAAACCAACCATCAATTGATTGGGCACGAAGGTCATTGCATTGGTTCGCTTCTTCGTCTTCTGGATTGTCTTTGCTTCCTTCTGTAATTTCCTTTTGTTTAATTAGAGTATGGTTTAACAATTATTGACCTGTCCAGTGGTCGAGTTAGCGTTTAGACAGAATTCATGGTTCAAAGACCCTCCTCCTCTCCATTTCAGTGGTTAATAATTCTCTTGTGAATTCTAAAAGGAAATCGAAAAATTTATGTTAAAGCTATGTTATATCATGAAGAAAGCATAAGTTCATTGGAAAAGTCTCCCGAATGGACAACCAAACCATCGGAATGAAACTGATTGGATTTCTGCTCACGTCGTCATTTCGGTATTTGTGAAAGTTAATGGATACAAACATCCGATATAATGTCAAAAGTCATTACATTGTACATACACTCCCTGTGTGCGATTATAAAAAATCATCAAAATTGTCATTTATTGTCAAACAAAATATTGTATATTATATGTACAGGATGGGCCAAAAAACAATGCCCAAGTTTAAAGATGAATGATTCATATGATATATGTTAAACCATGCCATGTATTAAAGATCATTGTAAAGATGAATTATTTCCTAACAAAATGACACCATACAAATGAAAAACCTTTGTTTTCTCTGGGAGTTAGTGACTAAAATTGACACCAGTGAGCGATCAACCATAAAGTGAAAATTCCCGTATTTCCCTTCATATTGCAGTCACAGCTGCACTCAAAATGCTTGACTGAATCATCATCAAGTAATATAAAAGTAATAAAAAATTGATAATTAATTAAAAACATATAAGCATTATTGCTGAATTTTGCACAATACTTGTATAAATGAACCTCCTTTTGAGGTGCCAACTTTTAAACCTCCCTCCATTTCCACGATTTGGAAATCCGTAGTGAATAATTTACTAGTCGCTCATGACACCCCTGGTGTCAATTTTTGCCTCTAGCTCCACAAGAAAACAACAGTTTTTCAATCTGTAGCTTCATATTGTCAGGAAATGATTTATCTTTAAACGTCATAAAATACAAGGCACTGTTTAACGTAATATCATATGTTATTATGCACCTCATTAAAATACTCAAATCTGATTGGTTCTTAGTTGCTTGTAATTTGGCAATACTCTGCTCTTTTCTGAAAACTGCCGGATATTTTTTTTAATATCTGACCCTTTCGAGAAAAAGGGTCGGATATTTTTTTTCAATGTTATTGCAACATTCCCACTTCAGAGTTTTATTTCTTAATAACTGGAGTACTACTTAAAGCTTACATCTGAAACTGGCGGAAAATAGAAGAAAAAAATGCACTTAATCAATCACAATTACCCTTATCATTCAAAAGTTACATATAATTCTGCAAGAACGTCTCGAATAAATAGAAATTAAATTCCCGGGGCAAATATTTTCGTCCAGTGTAGCGAATAAACTGGCCGGAAGTCGTCTGAGTTTTGAAAGAAAAAATAAATAAATGTCAAAATAACGTCAACTAAACGACAGTTTAAGCCTGTACTCCGATCCAGTAAGTACTCCACTTAACTTTGATTGGGAGGTGCATAATAAAACAAATACTGGATGATCAGGAGCTGGATATGGCCAGAATACCTATCCTCGAAAAAATATTGGGCTCGGCTGCCGCCTCGCCCAATATTTTTTCTCGAATAGGTATTCTGCCATATCCAGCTCCTGATCATCCAGTATTCGTTTAATATTCATCCTTAAATTGGGGTATTGTTTTTTTGCCCACCTTGTATATATATTGTACACATAGAAACTAAATCAAGTTTCAAACTCTCATGAAAACTTCTTGTTGCCAAACTTATGGAGAGGAGTGTACTCATAGCAAGCATGGTACTCAGCATTCGTTTGTTTGTTTGTTTGTTTGTTTGTTTGTGAGATCACGACAGTTTGATGTTTTATTGATTGATTGATCGATTGTTTAATTTTGTTTTATCCTTAAAGGCCCCGTGTAAAGTCTAAAATCTAAGTATTTGAAAATCTAAAGACCAAAAACGTTTTATCATTGGTTCAGTGATGTTGATTTTGAAGGATGAGTTTTATACGATGTCGACTTTTTCTAAAAGATGATTTAAGTAATTAAAATATTTGGATTATTAACAAGACCAAAATACGATGTTGTTATCATCGCATTAAAAATAACAATTAACGAAAACATATTCAAGCAACATACTTATCGGCTTTCACATTAGCAAATCAATAAATGAATTGCGAAGTAGGCTTCCGGAGAATAAAGACAGGTCCAGCGACACAAAATTTGCTTATAGTGAAAGCATGCCCATTCTTACAGAAATTGGATTTATTGGAATGCAAATATGTTCGCTTATGGTTTCACATTTGCACTTATATGTTATATTTCAGGGTCTTAGGCTTCCGTAAAGGATTTACTTTCAGATCAAAACATCGTGTTCAGAAAAAGCAATTATTTATACTTAACTTAATACGAAACCGAGTCACTTAAGCACTCGTGTGTCTTAATAGAATTTTTTAGCGTTTCAGTGAACAAGGACATTGTCACTACGATTTCTATGGCCTGACTAATGAAGCAGTTGCTCCAGTGCTTATGACTTCAGTTTTGCTTGAGAATCGATAACTCTTCGAATCCCGCCGTTCGTATTTTCTCTGCATTCCATCTATTGATATTCGTAAATTAATCGCCATTCCATAAATAACTTTTGGCGTAGGTGGTTGCAATAATAGATAAAAGAGACATGTGGTATGTAATTTCCTATAAAAACACCGCAAATTTTCCCAAGATAAGACATTGGATTGGATTTGTTATTGCGTAAACGATTTTGATTAAATGAATTAACCAACCTAAATAGATGGTTTCGAATCCCGGGAGTCGTTTTACATATTTGTTTATTATACCATCTGAATTAGATTACCGATATTGGTATTAACTCAGGGGAGAAAGGGTTAATCTGGATTTCATTTCTATCCCTTTTCCAATAAATCTGATCAATATTCTATCAAATATTTAACTTGTTATTTTTCATTTCTTGTCCCCAATGAACGAAAAGAGGGATATGATTTATTTATATCGATCTTGCTAGATACCTCGTGGTGATAATAAAGTATTAAAAACTTAATATTTCAGGAAATGGATTAAGAATAAGGTCACATCGTCACGGTCACATATTAGGTTAATCATACTCTCAAAGTACATCATGAATATGTACATGTCAAGAACCAAAAGAATCGGTGTTTACATATGAGACTTGATTTACGCTGTTCGTGAAACATGATTGTATTAAAGTATTTTGACCCACCTTGCCTAGTTTGCTAATTAATGAATGGTTCTTTGGAAATTATATGAACGAAAATGTAAACATTCTATATATCGATAAAACGTGCTCTTATGATTGCCGTTCAATTGAATATGAAGCTCATTAGTAAGTACCTACTGTATACGTTTTTTCTGATTTTGTTTTAGATAAGAGAGCCATGGAAGAAATTGTGTACGGGAATCATCAAAATAGCGAACGTCTCAAGAAATCAGTGCTAGACACACGACCACAGGAGCAGGTCCTTGAACAGGCTGTTCAATCTGAAGAGGACCTGGATGAGCCATTCGAGCAAGCGCCAGTGGACCCTAGCCAGGTTGACTCAAAAGCTAAGATGACAGTTTCATCCGGAGCTTTGGACAAATCTGACCAATCAGATGTCATAGAACAATCAAATTCGTTTTTGGACTCAGCTGAGAATGAGGTTGAAAACAATGACGCTCCTAACGAAAAGGGAGAGCAACTCAATAAAGAAGTCATTGACCTAATGACAACACAGCCTGAAAGACAGGAAACAGACACTGCTGAGTCAGAACTGGCTAATCTTGAGGACAATAACGAATACATCCAAACAGATGAATCCAGCGCTAGAGCTGAATCAGACTATGACTCGGAAGAACAAAGTCTGGCACGCCTACTAAATGACGAGGATCAATTATTGGGGCTATCTAAGGAGGGTGAGTCCAGCAATGATGACAGTGAGTTCGCGGAGGATGACGAGGATGGATCCGGTGAAGTGGATAGCGCTGAAAATGAAGCTGACAGTTCATTTGAAAAAGACCCAGACTATTTCTACAACGATCTTGCTTACTTGAAGAAACTCTATGGTTAGTGTGTATGATTTAATAGTTATCCAGATGTTGTTTTGGTCATCTATTGGTAGGTAAAGCAAACTAGATGAATTGATTCAATGTTTTATGATTGACATCCAACAAGTTTCCAAGGCACTGGGGATCAATTGGAAACGAAGACATTCATGGATCAATTGGAAACCAAGGCATTTTAGCATGGCCGAAGTTCCGGTAGAACAATTTGGTAATTAGAATTTTTATTTTCTTGATTTTGTCACCTTTATCCATCAAAATTTATTCTTAATAGTTGGCTAGTTTGTGGTGCGAAGGTTCCGGTTTCGAAATATGGTTACATCTCAGAAATAAATATAAGTATATCGATATTTACAAATTAGTTCCCTCGCTTAGGAAACGGAGTTTTGTAGCAATGAAACGAAGACATGTTTTGTTTGCGACTAAAAAATTCGTTTTTACAAATTCTTTACACCTTTACTTAGTACTTCAGATATCACTTAAACGTACTGTCTCCGTATCTTTTGCATTCGTTCGACTTCGCTTCATCTATAAAGAGAGTTTTGTTTATAACTAGACTCTGCGCGCAGGGTACTGTCTTCAAGATTCGTTAATGCTTCTGAAACCTTTGTACTGTGTTTGTTTCTCTTCCTTGTTTTGTATTTATCCAAACAATTACGGTATATATTTCTTAGGTGTAACCATATTTCAATACCGACCCAACGCACTACATACAGGCTCATATTTTAGTTGAAATTTGGAGGTTAAAATGCATTATTAACCGGAAGTCATGTCTTCGTTTCAAGTTGGTCCCACCGTAAGGTATGTCTTCAATGATCACAAGTTTATAATTTATTCATTCATATTTAACAAGATAGGTATCTTACAAATACTGACTTGATGGGAAAAAATCGTTTTCACTTATTGCTAACAGTGATAGAAACACGAGAGTGATGATTTGGGAGGGAAGAGGTGACTCCCTTCGCTAGACATCTATTTATCTAAATATATTGTCATGTGTGAAAATAATTTAAGCACACGATCCTATAGGCCTAATAATGCACTCCTAGCCTAAAATAATTTGCACTATCTCACATATACTTCATAGGGTCTTGTTTCTAAAGCCTTTAATAAGCTATCGTCAGTGCTGAGATTCTGGATCATTATATCACTGTCTTATTACGATTAAGGATTACTTTGATTTGATGATGTGAAATAGCACAATGAAATCAATGACTGACGCAATAATTGCATGCTATCCTTGATTGGATACACACGATTCAATCCCTTAATTTCGTATTTAATATCTCATGAATTTACACTCGTTAAGTGCATTCATTTCCTGTATAAAAGCAATCCACCGACCATATGTAGAGGCACTAAGACTTGTACTTATCCCTTTTTAATTTATGTCTTCCCTGCTTACTCTGCAGCTCCATCTATAATTGCTAGGCTAGGTGATTAAATACTAGTAAAAGGTTTTGTACGTTATTCCTAATAACGGATACATGTATAAAGGATAAATTAAAGAATTCGGTGTATGTAATGCATCATGTCCCATTTCTATAGAATGGAATGTGTTATACAAATCTTTCTTTCTATTGATGGGGATAATTTTATACATCTTTCACGGGTGTTATTCCTTGAGGACATCTGTGGGATAATGTATTGACATTTTGACATTGACAGTGAATAATATTGTATGTAATAAGCCTTTTGAATTAAGGTGTGAAAGGATGTCAATTCCATGATCTTTCAAAGGCTCTTATAACTTTTAGTTGAGTATGAGGGTCACCATCATTAGTCTTTGATATTTCGTTGCTAATTATAATTAGTGCAAGGATATTGCAGCAATTCGTTGTAGACAACATCTATTGAGTGCTACCTGTAATTCCAAACTAACTAGAAATATCTGATATCATAATTATCATATGTTGATCGAATATAAAATAGTAGCCTGGCCAGAACAAGTCATGCCTCTCTATTTTCTCAATAACTTTCTCAATTTTGAATATTTTTTCATGAAATTTTCACAGAATAAACTTTAAAGAATTCCTAACATACAAATTTTTTATATGGTAAATGCCTCATTAATTTCATTATTACAACCTTTTAAAAAATAATGTCATATTCTGTTGATGGGTCATTTTTGTCGACCCACTATTATATGATATTACTATGATATTCTTGCTTAGTTCCTAATTACTACGCAGCTCATGTATCACCTATGTTATGATCTCTTAGATTACGAAATGATCAACTTACTTTCTAATTGGACTGACTTCTATTAGCTATATCGGCGCCATTGTAAATCTCTGCATGTTCAATGAGGATCATGTTTTTATGATGATCAATCATTAATGCCTACGGAATATATCAAGATCACATTTATGATCCATGAATTCCGGTGTTTAAAGTCCCCGATAAATCGGGCTACGTATACCGCCGTGTTTACATTAGGGGATTAGAAGAGTTTATTTTTTATTTAGGTATGCACGCTACGTATATCAATATTAGGCCTTCATTCATGTACTCGTGTGCATGTAATCAGCATGCCCTTCAATATTATGTAAACCAGGCTATTCAAGTACTGTATAATGTGTACTATTTATGTGTGTGCTACATACAATACAATTCCCTGGGAAACAAAACACAAATACTTTTTATATGTTCAAAATGAGCCATTTGATTGATGCAAACACTAAATAGCTTCATAAATAACATCTACAAAGTATATCTAATAGTAATTTTCAATTTCAATGGTGAAACTTCCCTGGTTACGATTATATGGGAAATCATCACGAGACGAAGATCGTTCGCCTTCCTGGCTTACCTCTGAATCGTGTACCTGGTATTCTCTTTATATAGTTTAGCGAGAGCGGTGCGCCTGCGCAGTTTTAAACTTTGGCGCACACTTTAAAGGGAGACAATCGATATACCTGTGTTTAAGAGACAATTTGAAATTGTGTTAGTGTGTTCTGTTGAAGGTCCTCTGGTATTCTGTTGAAATTTTCTGGATACTGACCAGATATGTTTTGCTTCTCATGATATTCAAGCAATTTAGTTAGATCCTGGATTAAAAAAGGAACAAGTTACAGGCAATTCTGAATCCGGTATCTGTTGTTCCTAAAATAGGTGACATGCTGCAAATACATATTAAACATATAGTCATAGTGTAGCTAAAAAATTAAACCAATTTACCGGATTTTCTGCATAATATCAATTTCTGTAGTACTTTTTCATAGTAATCTTTTCAAAACCATAAACGGGAAATAATACAACCTCTAGATTTATGTTTTTATGGTTAATCTTGAAAGTGAGATACCAAAGAGACAAAAAGGAAAAAACATGAATTTTAAAATATACTAGCCACAAAAACCAAACAAGTGCCAGGTCAAGTCCAGTCCCTGATGGCGAAATCTACGAGTCTTGCATGAACCTAATTACTCTCTGATTCAACTCCATTTTGCTTACACGCAATCGCTAAATGAGAATTTACGACTTTCCTCTAATCGTATCCCTTTAATTAAATGTTCTTCTTTTGTTTTTTAATGGATAGACGCAGCTATATACGTTTACTATACGCCCACTTGAATGTGGACATTGTATGATAAAGGAAAGCAATCACAATAGACCAATAGGGCCAAATCTTCATTGATGCAATGTTAAATTTTTCAAAACCTTAGCACTCGTCAATGCTTTCTAAGTTCATTGAATAACAAAGTAAATTTGGTTGGAAGGTCAGTAGACTTTTCTTTGGTAAGTGACCTTAGTTGTGATACGACACCATCAATAGAATATGATATGATATTATACCCTATGTTTTATGTACACGCCCTTACATGGATCATATATGTTACGTACTAAATACCTGCCCACCATTCTATTAATATTTGATGAGTCATACTTCGAATTTGTAACAACCACGTATTCTGCTCATTTATCCCTTCAATTTCCGTTTGACTCCTCTCGTTACTTAAACAACAGGACAATCCCCTAGGGTCAATCACTGTAAGAATGCTCATAAAGATATAAGTAGGAAGTAATATGGCAGATTCCCACTCAGATTCTCACGAGACACGCTATGCAGTATTTGCAGTATATTGACTGTAAACGTCAATTGCGAGGCTCATATAACATTGTTTTAGCTATTATGTTGTTGCAGTATACATTATATTAATCTCCAAAATAACATTTCACTATTGCAACATTAAGATGTTTATCATACTGAGACAGCAACTTTGCGCTGGAATCTGGGAAGAGTCCTGGAGACGAAGTTCCACCCATGCATATTTAATCTAACTGATGTATCTACACAGTTCTGTCTTATCTTGCTGCAGCAACGATAATCACACGACGTTGGAAATTCAAAAAGTAATTTATATATTTGCAGATGAGTTCGAGCCAACACAATACGAGTATCCTGATTATTTTTACTACCCATACAAAAGAAAAAGGAGGGACACAAAAAGTTCAAGTAAACGAAGCCGAGTTAAACGTGATCTCTTCTTTCCTGACGAATACAAGCCGATCCGTGGAAATCATTTGAACAATGGTGGAAAATCAGTATATCCCGGCTGGTCACGTGAAGCCCTCGAGGAACTTATGAACTCAGAGAGACCAGAGGCGCCACCTATGTTTGGTCGGGAGATGGAGCCTGGATATATGAGTGAAGTAGAGAAAGCAGCAGAGGAAGCTAAAGACCGCCTTGAGGTCCTTGAATGGCTTTACGGAGATGGTTACAAAACAAATGCATACAGTCCACAGGAAGATTCATATGAGTACGAAGATGAATACACGCCTTATGGAAATGATGGCTGGATTGAAGAACCAGTTGAAGACGAAATGCCAGACTATGAAAACATCATCTACAATGGTGAACCAGGAATTTTCGTTCCACTCAAAAGAAGCTCCCCAGTGTTTTCTAGTAGCATACCATTCCGAAAACGTGGCTTCTATCCAGCAGAAGAAGAGCCATTGGCACGATGGCAGGGTTTGGTGTTAGGCCCCAAGTCGAGAAGGGCTTACAAAAGTGCGTATGATCGAGTCTATGAGCTGGCACAGGCGCTTGATAGAAAGAGAGGATTGCCATCATTGGTAGGTTTCAGTATTCTTGGTCTTGAATATTTTTGATTTTGGGTTTTTAAGTCCAGGATAAGTTATACTCTTAGAGGAGTATTATTCAAAACTTGCCAATAACCATGTAGACAAGATAAAGTTGTTTATATTATAGACACTATGGGCACATATGACAGCAACAGTGCAAATAAATACAGCTAAACCATTATAGACCTACATAAATTACTGAAATTCAGCTTAACTGTTAACTGATTCTGGTCGTATAATGATTTTAAAAAAACAATTTTGTTTATATCACATAAGGAAAGCCACCGCAGACAATAAAAAATACTAAAATAACATTTTTCTCATTTTAAAACTCACTCACTCACGATTATTTATGACATTTTTTCATGTTACAGGAATCTCAAGAGAATAAGAAATAGACACCCATCCCAATTTGACGTTTATAAAAGGAAGCTTTGACAGTACAATCAAACTGATTTGACCCATTGGGTCACACGCCTAAGACATCAGTCAACCATGTCTAGAAAACTGGAGAGTTACAGCAACATAAGAGACGCCTAATTGAATTGCTTGATCTTATAAAGTATGAACATTCCAATTTTAGAATGACTTACACGCATAATTTAAGAGGACTACTTAATTATATACATTCAGGTTTGGATCAAACGCTTCATCAATTAATCGGGGCATATCGATATTGTACCTCAGAAATGACATTCAACATTTTGTGTACCTGGTATACTCAAACTCATGACCTTTTATGTTTGTTGAAAGATAAAGTTCAATAATGGCTGATTGATCAATATTGTGAGAACTTATTGCTCTTTTTGTTCAATATTAATTATTCCCCTTTGTAGGAGTATCCTCAAATGTACAGACGAGATTGATGAAATTAATTAACTTTAAAGTTGTAAATATAATGAATTACCTTGCAAATAATAAATTTATGTATTTTTAATAAGATTTCTAGTATATACTTTTACTCGCTTATTAGCTACCTACAAATACTAAAGATACTAATCATGAAAGAAACCCGATCTCTCTATTATCCACTCATATAACATGATTAGAAAAGAAATCATCGAAAGCAGTAGAAATGTTTAAACTTGAAGGTTCTCAAATTCGGCAGTCTGAACAAGTGAACATGGAACCTGACAACTCGTGTTAAAAGGAATTCCTTCACATACCACCTTCAATGAAATGGTATATCTAAAAATCGATATTGTATGCTTTACATTGGGATAGAACATCATATGCTCATCTTTTTTATGTTGTCTCTGTCTGTGTAGGTATAATTAATAAAGGGGTAAACTGAATTATTAAAAGCACAATGAGAAATTAAATATCAACATCTAGAATATAATTTCAATTTGTAACTTATATCTAACGAGAGCGAAAATCATGATTTAAACAGTTTGCGTGGGCTATTTTGTCAATGTGATGACTTAATATTTGACATTTACTTACTTAAAGTGTATGCTCTATCGTTACATTCGTGATCATTATAATTAGAATGTTCTTATCATCTTAGATGCAATTTGATCATTCCTATTTTTAATACACGTTGTTTGGAGAGTTGTTGATCACGTTATTTACTAATGCTGCATTAAATTTTCAAATCACAAACAAGAATGGTTGACATATTGTTATGGTCAATGTCTTTGTAACCGCAGTTCACAAGGTGTTGTCGGTCTATGAAAAATTAATGAACATTTGTAACTATTTGCAATGACCTAACGAAGGTGATCATAACAAACTGTCATGTTATTCCCTTGTATTGCTTTAGTGACAAATGGCAGAAGTGTTTTCATAGGGTGGAAATGAAGTTTGCAATATATTTGAGGCTTATTGGAAAGGTCTGCTAAGCATACAGTGCAAAGTAAAAACATATATTTTACAAACCATTATATTATACCTTTCTAATATTTGACATGAAACTACCTACATTTTCTATAGAATATGGGCTATTTTGTTATATATAGAGTTAGGTCATCGGACAGAACAGGTACTTTTTCAATTCAAAATAATTTTTCATGATAAATTCACGTATATTCCTAACATACAAATTATTTCATTTAATTAATTATAATTTTCTTTTTGAGTTACAAGATACAAGACAAACTACAAGACACATTCTGTAAAGGGCCATTTTTATATTTTGTAAGAATGGAGAATATGTATGCATAGACACTGTGTTAACTATGTTAACAATTGAAACTATCTTTATTGATATTATAATAGTGAAAAGTCAAATGATGAAAACATTCGCTAGGAATGAATTCAAATTTTATTCCAGAAAAAATGGAGATGATTTATCACTTTCCGACAAAGATACACAAAACTGATATCTTAGCAGAATTTCTCTGTGAAAATTTCATAAAAATTGAAAGTTATCAGGAATAAAGAGAGGCGTAATTTGTACTGTCAATCATTTTGAAGATTCCATTTCGTGGGTGGAGCTTTGGTTGTTAAATTATTCTATTCTATGGTTCAAATAGCGGCAGAGACACACATTACAGCAGAATACGTTTTTGATAAGTCATTTATATTTTAACAATGGACTTCAAATAACAATAACTTATAGTAATAGTATTACTTTTTAAGGTTATTGTGACATATGTGAAGTTTAAAACAATAAAAAAACTATAGATAATCGAGCAAACCGATGATATAACAGATTGGATCGAAGCTGCAATTAAAATGCGTTTTGGGAAGTGTAGTTACATTCAATAGAAGTACCGATAATTAATCGGTGAGTGAAGTATATTCTGCTGATTCCTGAGCTATTATAGATTACAAACATGTCTGTTTTAATCCACGGACACTCCTTAATAAACTGGTTTGATATGTATCAAATGAGTTGTGAGAACAATCTTGGACTGGATTCATCTCATTCTGATTTGACTTTCTATAGAATCCGGGGTGGGACGTTCGAGTGCTCTAAAAATCGTGGTCTCGATTTAAGAAGCAAAGTTTTGTTGCCTATTTGACCCTCAAATAGTCTATTTCCAATTGGGGGAAGAAATGATTTGGGCAATCCCCATTGTAATATTGAAACATTATTCGTGGCAATTAAAAGTTCTGTGGAACGTGTCACAGATACGATAATGTGCGTGAAAGTCCCATAAGGGTTGGTCACGTATCTAACAGATTACGGCCACATGTATTTTTGAGAATTATGATAGGGTACGCCTGGTCCTCAATTCAAAACTCTCCGAGCTACAGGGAGTATCATTGGAAAATTTTGATATGCCGGATGTATGGCTTCAGGAACAATGTACAGTATGAAGTACGATTGCAAAGGAATCATCAGTTCACACATGAATGTGTAGAAGATTTGCCAACAATATCAAAATGTAACTTATCGCAGTACGGTGTAGTTTTGGATTTAATTTGTGGACATGTTGCTATAGTTGCATCTAACGAGATAGAAAAGGAAACTCCTGTTATGCACGAAGTCACCCCTAATATCACCATCAGATACAACGCCATCTATATATTGATAATTAATTTGATATCATCACCAATGAAAAGGCGTTGGTCGGCTTAGAAACATATTGTACTTCAAAAGTAGTCTCCAAATTAGTTTCACTGGTAACCAAAATGTACTTAGGATTTATGATTATGGTTTCAAACTATTTATAAAGATCATTGAGAAATAGGAGGGCACAATTAAGACCCCTGAACCTTTTTGTATGTTGAGTCGTCTCGCATATTCATCTATCTACATACCAAAGAAAAAATCCCCAAATCCTCCACCATCAGAGTTAATGTTTCGATTGTACAGACTGATCGAATATCGAATTCTTTTCACCAAAACTAATCAAGTATGAAATTTGAATATACCTGGGGAGTCCCTTTGTTATCTGATTGATAGTTTGGTTTTTAGCGTTATGGTCACGTGATCAAGGGAATTCCGTAAAATGGAAGTTCTTTCAAACTGTGAAAGTCGGTTTTCTTAAAGTAGTTTTTAATTTTTTTAATACATTATGCTCTTTGAATGGTCAGATGAGATAGGTAAGCTATATAACATATTAGTGATTAATTAATCTAATTAACAAATAAAGATGGGGTGTCACCGATTGCCCAGCGAGTATTCGTATGTACCCCACTGGCATCTTCAATGTAGTTCTCATGTCGTATAGTATAACGACGTCATCAGGCCGTGCGTCGATGAATGCTGCTTTGAAACCTGCTTTCTGGCTTTTTAACGATTTGGTGGCTTTGAGCTGTTAAACTGAGTCAGTCTGGTGATATGAAGAGAAACTGGAAATAACATAACTCAGGTCTACCCTCATATCACCAAACCTCCTGCAGAATATTTGCATTCTTTTCCGCTGTGTATCCAAGATTAAAGCCTGGTTCAGATTGATAACACTGAAATATTGGCGTTGCATATCTAGACGACATTTGTATCGTTTGGCGTCATTCAACGTGTTAAACCCTATTTCAGTTGGATAAAATTGAAATATTGGCGTTGTATATCTAGACGACATCTGTATCATATGGCGTCATACAACGCGTTAAAGCCTGTTTCAGTTGAATAACATTGACATATTTGCGTTGTATATCTAGACGACATCTGTATCGTTTGGCGTCATTCAACGCGTTAAACCCTATTTCAGTTGGATAACTTTGAAATATATGTCCTTGTATATGTCCGCATATGTCCCACTTGCACTCTTTGAAGGAACAGTCGAGATGTGTCCTCATCTATCAAAGAATGCGATGTTCCTTGGATATTTCGATTTAAAACTTTCCATGAAATATTTATTATCACATAGCCTCTGACAATATGCTGACCTAAAACAAATATAATCATATCAACTCTTACACATATTCAATAATATTCAAAACAGTATATTTCAATATATTTAGGATGCAGCGACAATATCCCTTATGTTTTCTCAATACCGCATTTTGCCTTATAATTGCTTATCTTATGTATATAGATAGATTAGTACCATATTCAATAATATATTAAAATTGTCAAATTCATTACTAAGAATGCATGACGATATCCCAAATATTAATTGCTTACCTAGTAAATAATATGTAATAGATTTGTTAATTCGTCTAGCAAAATATTGTTTATAAATACATGTTGACTATCTTGTCGTGCATGTTGACCAGTTCCTCAATTTCTAACTGTTCAACATAGTTAAGTGATTATAAATAAAAATGAAATGAAATTTAACCTGGGCACATATTTTTTTGATCTGCTTTTTGTTTAAGTAATAAATGTAATAGATATACCCGATATGATTATTATCAAACGAACAGATAACACCTGACAACTAATGATAATTTTTTTAATCTATAATATGTCAATTATCCATTTTCAAACATATGTTTCATTAATTCGTATTTTAATGTTAGGATTGTAAACTTAATTTGAAATGTATTTGTTTCAAATTGCTGGAGATAATGTACAACATGATATGAAAGCAATTAGCAACACCGTGGTTTGTGGATTTTCCTAGTAAATGCCTCCTCGTTTGAAACTTTCTTATCAAAATTAGCTTGAACATTTGGATTGTCAAATCCAGTAAAGCCGTAATATAAAGAATGAAATTGAATGACACTATAGTCCCTATAATTAGAGAGTAGGGATTTTATCTCTGTCTCCGAGGCCCCTTTATCAATATTTTGCGGTGTAATGGTTTCGTCATAATCAGCTTCAGTCTTGTCTTTGTTATTTTCTATATAGAGTAAGGGAGAGATTGACTCTTTAACAGCAGCTGCCGTCTGTTTATTTTCTAGAAAAGTACTTTCTCTATATTTATTTGCAAAATGTGCGTCAAATAATTCTAAAAATATATGAGCATTCATGGGACATCGATCCTCCTGTGTTGGGCATATTCCCATGATGCATCTGACACCTTGACAAAAGAACTTGGGTAAAATGACAGTTCGGTTAAGTATTTCACCCAGCATAAGTGCGTTTTTCAAGGCGCTAAAGTCATTGTCTAGGCCCTCGTATGAAGCAGTATACACTGGAATATCAAATGTAATATATTTTCTATATGGATCTGAATAATAACCATCCGTGTCTACCAGCCACATGAAATGTTCCTTGAATCTATATGTCTTATCTTCTTTTGTTTTAATTTGGTTGTTGTGAACTATAACAACACCTGGCGAATCTTCAATGCGAGAGAATGGCCGATACATGAAATATTCTTTGCCACATGGGAATTTCTTAGGATCTAGAATTTGATAATTTAAATGTGGTTCGAGAACCTGACCTTTCTCTGCCGCACGATCGTATTTAGTTAACAGTCGGTTTATGGCTGGTTGGTCCATCAACGTCCAGTTACTCTCAACAATATTGTCCCAGGCTGTTTGATAAATGTCTATGCTTGCCTCGGTTGGTCTGACGTAAATAAACCCAGTATTCTTTCGCTGTGTCATCGAATTGTTTTGTATCAACAAATCACAAGTGGAACATGGAAAGTGATCAAATGGGTTCTTGTTATAATATATATCGATGTCAGAGAGTAGGACGTTGAAACCGTATCGAATAGCTTCTAGTGTAACCTCAATTTTAGTATTTACTTTCTGTTTAAATTCAAACGAATCGCCAAAAACTGTAGCTTTTCCAGCTCCTTTGACCTCCCACCAGAAATAGCATGGCATATGCAAGGATAATAGAAGATCGAAGGATTCCCGATCATTACATATCGGCAATATGTTTGTAACACCTGCATTAAGAACAATAGTTTGAACGAAATTCATAAATGTATCTATATATCCACTATCTATAACTGTTAATACAACTGTATAACTGCTGTCACTTATTCTCTCAAGCGCTTCATAAAAGTTTACTGTTCCTGCACGGAGGTCGGGAACTAAATTTAAATTTCTCGCTGGAAGTTTGTCGGTGACTTCCACAAATGTCCTGTATTTTTTTCTTAATGTTGGTTCAACTTCCTCCGTAAAACGTAGAGTTTCATCGCTCCAGTACATGTAATATGGTAAAGAGTATGTTAGAACACCTATACAAATGCAGAATATAAACTGTTTCTTTATAAGGCGCATTTTGTCTATTTATACACTTTCTTGCTCGAAGGATGAACACATGCCACTCCTAAAGGTCCCAGTAATGTCATCAATTCCACTAAATTAGTCGATGTTTACCACCAGCGAAAGACATTTTCAGACTAAATTATTTTATCTGATTGAACTTACAGCTGTTTCATGGACGTACTTTTTAATGTCAATGAGCGTTACCTTATTTTCTTGAAATGAAAAATGGACATCACGTTAACCGTTGGCTTATCAATGGAAATGTCATTGATCTTATATTAATTTCAAATTACTTTAAATCATTTGTTTTTATTCCGCTACATGCTGAAAAAGATATCCGGTTTAGATTATCCATTCTATTATAGAAACTAAAAGTGTGCGCGTTCAATTTTGTTGACACGAATTAAATGCAGGTTGTTAATAACATTTAGACAAAATCACAGATTTGGATAAATTGTGTTAGTGTCTGATTTGATATTTGATTTGAAACAAAGGCAGTGACAATTGTATATATTACAGGTAGCACATTTCAACGATGAACAAATTAACATCACACATATTAAAGGTTAATGGGCATATCGTTTAGAATAGTTAGCATGTACAAATGTCAAAGGTGTCAAAATAGCTTGCGCACATGTAATAGAGAACGCAGAAAAGTCAAAAATGATCAAATTGTGTTAGAGGCTATAATGACAACGTTATTGGTTATTCAGTCATTTTTTGTCTCACGTAATGTAACATTTGTCAAAAGGTGAACTATGCGAATGGTTTTTAAAACATACCCTAAACAAACATTAGAATTACAAGGACTTCTTTCTAGAATTCAAGGAAATGTATTTGAAAAAGAACTAACACTTTATTAACGTGTGAAGCTTATCTATCACCGCTCTAAACACTACACATAATGAGCATCACCTTCAATTGCCATACGCATACCTGTACCTGCAAGAGGCTGCATGCTATTTTGCAAAATAAACAGGATGTGATTGGTCAATTGAATTTGTTACTAGATTATACTAAGATTGAACAAGTTCGATTCATAACTCCAGATTCCAGACTCTATATCATGCAAAAATCTAGAACGTCGTTCTCTGGTATTAATGACAAAATTGAAAAACTTGACTTGGAATCTGGATATCATCATATTGATTTCATTTGAAATTTCAAAGTGTCCTTAAAGGTCAACCAGTAGTCTGATCTCAATTTCGATTTCAGATTCGGAATCCTGAGCAAAGGATGGGTATCGATATGGTGAACTTTTCCAACACACGTTTCTCTTAAATGCAGTCATCAAAATATTCTGAAAAGGAATGGTGTCGATATTGTGAACTTTTTGAACACGCGTTTCTCTTAAATCAGACATCGAAACATTCTGAAAATTTTCACATCGTCAATGTAATGGTCATCTTTTGGGTGGTAATATTATAATTTGAAATATATATGTACAGGGTGTTCCATATGTTTCAGGAATGAAGCTGTATTTTAGTGGGGTTTCTTTTAAATCAAGCTGAATTTTTAACAAAATGTGTCCAAATATGTTGTGAATAAGTTGGAAAGTGTCATATCATGAAGCTCAATAGACTTAATGATACAGTTGCTAAAGTAACCCAGGGATAAGATAGGTGAAGCAGGTGTGGCAAAACATAAATATATGTAAATTAACAGTTGTTTTTTTGTATGAAGAGTTTGAAAGTATTAGGTTGTCATAGCTACATCAAAATTGTCAAAAATTAAAAATTAAGGTGGATTCTTTGAAATAAAAAAAAATTGTCATTATTGATGGCATCACAATTGACACCCATGGCATGATATGACATGAGTCACAAAGGAGAATGGTCACTGGTCATTTTGGCTGAGCGTGCAGCCATATCAGATGTTTTGGATTATCTGTCTCAGATTCCCTTGATTTGAATCCCTTATACCACTCATACACTCTTGAGGTTGTTGTCATTAAGTCCCAATATATACTCCCAAGGTATTTAATTTTAACTGCTTGAGGTTGTTGTCATTAAGTCCCAATATATACTCCTAAGGTGTTTAATTTTAACTGCTGCAGAAAACTTATTTTTCACAGTCTTGGACTTTTGTGCGTTACCTTAGTTGAAATTCATCTTTTACTGATGACATTTTCACTTTTCAAGATGGCCACTCAGTCAAAATGACCTGCGATTATTCTCCTTAGGTACCCATGACACGACAAGTTTTCAATTGTGATATATCATCAATGATGATAACTTTCATTTTTGCTTAATTTCTGACTTTGATGCAACTATGACAACCTAATACTTACCCACACTTCATACAAAAAACGACTATTTTTACAAATATGACATATATTTTGCCGGTTGTTACACCTGCTCCACCTACTCTACCCCTGGGTTACTATAGCAACCACATTATCAGGTCTACTGACCTGCATGATATAAAACTTTCTCAATTCATTCACAACTAACATGGATACATTTTGTCAAAAATTCAGCTAGATTGAAAAGAAAACAGCTAAAATACAACATCATTCCTGAAACATATGGAACACCCTGTAGATATACTTTTCTCTATATTGTTTTAGAAAACAAATCAGACACTTCATTCGTATTTGGAATCATATGTTCGAAATAAAATGAAACATCTATTCGAACCTCATTGGAACAAAACGACATAAACACAACGTGTTTAGGTCTCTCAATATTGTAACTGTACAAAGTAAAGTTTGGTTGATTTTAAAAAAGTATCTTGTGAATGAAATAAAAGGCTTATCTTAATTTTTATCTATTTTGGGGGTTTTGTTTTACATTTTTGCATACTTTTTGTAAAATCGACCAAATTTCCCTTTGTATAACTATAATATTGAGAGGTCTACGAAAATGTTGTATGTGCTACTTTGTTCCAACATGGTTCGGAAAGACATTTTATTTCATTCTCAGAAATTGGTAGAAAGGAACAAAAATCAATTGCACTAAAAAACAAAAAACTATTAACAAAAACAGTTATATAAAATATATATAAATACCTTTTGCATTAAATTGTTGCCAATCAGCCAACATTACAAGGACAGTGTTTTTAAAAAGAATGTTTTCAATAATTGGTTTAAGAGAAAAACATTGTTGAATTCAGTTCACCATATCGATACCTATCCTTTTACACATCGTCTTTCTCCAGACTTCGGAAAAAATAAGACAAATGTAATCCGAATGAGAAATGAATCAAAATCAATTTTCACTTTTATGATACTGAGTACTGACCTACTTTAACATTGGCCATTAGAGCGAATTACTTTGTACTTATTCAAACTGGAGCACCTAAACCAATGCTCCATAAATCAATCTATGGTATACAGTAGCTTTGTGCCATCTTTTTACCGTAATTGTAGTACACTAATTGTGATGCTGTTGGACAATTACAATTCTCATTCGATAAGAAAGTACCTAAGGACCACAAGTAGAGCAAGGCATTAACATTACAAAATTTCACCACCTTGTAAGTTAATGCTAAATTGTATCATATTAGACGCCGAGTGTAATTTGTCACAGGCGCCGAAATCCAAACGCTTACCGCCGAACTCCGAAAGTTGAACACCGACCACGAAAAAGTTGGAAACTATTAATTAATATTAATATGTCACCTCTTCTGGTGGTGAAAAAAACATTATGAATAGTAGTACACGATGAAGTTATTTTCAGCAGTTTGCAGATTGGCCCATCTAAGGTCAATCAGTATTTGCATGTTGTATGATGCAGACCTAGTCCCCTGCTTCCATCTATATTCAAACTGACATTTCCTAGCCATCGTTTTTTGGGTTAAAAACTTTTAGAATACTAATCCTCTAATCATCGATATATAGTTTTGTTTTTCAATAATTTATATTGAAATACGAATAATGTTGTGGCATCGACATATACTCAATATATTTTTGTATTTTCCTCGCATTGAATATCTTATATTAACAAGTAAACTTCTAAATTATGTATAAAATACTCAAAACATTACAATGTAATTTAAATAGACAGGGCAAAGTACAATACAGTAGTTTCGTTTTGTGTAAAAATTAGCAATAAATTTGATCGGTAGCAGTAGCAGAGGTTTCTGGTTACCATAGCAAAATAACAACAGGGTATGTGGAGCGAGAGTACGACACATCGAAAGCTGGGAAATGTTGACACTTAAAGGGTGTTACAGGGATGATTCCATTAGTGATGTAGAACAATGAAGCCAGAAATGGTGCGGAACCGTGACTTGATTTTATCTGACAAGTTCGTAGAATTACTTTGAAAGAAATTGCCTATCAGTTTGAAGACAAATGAAAATATAAAATTAGCTACTGTATGAGATATTAAGGTGTGAAACTCCACGAATATGAAATGATCTGAATTAGCGCTTCAGTTGCTGAAATTGCTTATAAAGTTTAATTCATTCCAGCTCCACATACCCTGTTGTTGTGTTGCTATGGTAACCAGATGCCGATGTTAATTTTTGAATTCATGATTTATTTTTACACAAACTGAAACTACAATATAGAGGATGATTAAGGCCAAATATGTACATTATTCATCAAATTCTAAGATTTTTAGAGCAAACGGTGTAGAACTTTGGATCAATCCTCGTTTTTTGATGCATCATTTAATTAATTCCAGCTATTGATATCGATTTCTAGTCTGACTTGCTCGCACAATACTGAACTACGTGATTTGTTGCTTTTGATAATTATTTGAAGATATGTTGAAAATATTCTTTGAAAATTTGAAATATTTGAAAAGGGTCTTCAAAGAGTCAATATTTCAGCTGCCATATAGTCGATCGTATATAACGTTTGGGCATAAATAGACCAGTCTATTTTCATTTTATAAACAAATAACATAAAGTAAATTATTTATTTTTTATTAATAGATCTTTTTACAAGTAAACTGTTTTACAGTCATAAAGAATATCATGCTTTCTTTCAATATGAGTATTGTACCGTATATACTTTGAAATAAATTAGTAATTTTAAAATTACTAATGTCAATATCCCCAAGTGAAATTTTCATTTTTTAATAAATCTGCTAATCGGTGGTTATATGTTGTATAAAAGTTTCTTAATAATGTCCTAGTTTCTGGTTTCATATCACCGAAAGTTCTTCCATATGGCCTTCTTATATTATAATGCTTTGATCTATACATGCTGTCGAGCTGCTTGTCATTCAGGCGCGCTAAAATGAAAGAATGTTGTTATTAAAATATATATATACTATACTAACATGTTGAGTTCCAATTGAATACTTTCACTTGCGTAACTACCTGTCACTGTAGTTTGAGATTGAAGTACTTTTACGAAGTAGAAGTTAATGAGCTTCAAATTATTATTTTGATGTTGCTCATGAATCTTAATTTATGGCATTTTCGGGAATAGACCTTTCCAATAAACCCTACCACATTTTTGTAAATCAAAGAAGCTATGATATATTAGTTAGCTAGACTGGTGATACTATTGGTTGTACTCTTAAAAATCAGCAATACGTTAATACAATACGGCTACGTTTTTTCCCGTTTTTGATTGGACAAATTGCTACCTACAACCAATGACATAATCAATCAAGTCAATATATCAGAGCCACCAAAAGGTGGCAGGGTTTATTGGAAATGTCTATTGAGCCTTGTATCATTTATCACAGCCGATATTAGTAATTGTCTGAATATTTTTTTCTTGATTTAGTAAAGTGTTAAAATTCACATCATACTTAGACCAGTCAAATGAAAGACATCTCTCATTGTCTGGTTGGTGTTGTCAGCCAAATCTTCAGTCCGTATTACTAGAATATTCTCTTTGGGAAACAGCTTGTACCAGTCTAGTAGGAACGTATGATACAGACCAATTTGTAAACGGAACTGAAACAATAAGTCATTTTCCAAATACTGTATTATTATATTATAATTACTTTCTAAGATCTGCTCTGAAAGAATACGTAACACATTCTAATTTCTTTTCTTACAATTGCATCTTCGACTTCCAAGTTGGGTATAACAAGTTGGAGCAACTGATACCTTGAATATTAAGATGTGTCAATTGTTTTATAACCTCTTTGCCTTATCGCATATTGACTTATTTGTTGATATCCAAGTCTACCAACCTTTCTAGTTCCAACATTGATATCTTCATATGCACAGTGTCTCTCTGAACCTGTGTCTTTTACACAGTTGAGGTACTCATTGATGGCTTCTTGAGATCTCATGTGGAAATCCTCAAGCGACTCTGGGTGGTCCTTTTTAAAAAATAAGTATTCTGAGTATAATCTGGAAAATGAAAGATATTAAACAAAGCTGATCATATTCTTTTCTGATCACTATAGCATAATATTATAGATTTGATTCTATATTACATACATGTCATTATCATTATATGATTGTAACTATTGTCTAGAAGAATGTAAAAACTTAATCAAAATATACCTTTCAGAAATTTATTCTACACAACTCTTCTTGGTATAAATAATATAGAGACCTTACAAGAGGTCAGAAGATTCAGATGGATTAACTTCTTCAAAATGGAACATGCTGTCAGCGCAAAATTGTCCGAGGTAATTGTTTCTAATGGATCTGTGAAAAAACATGGTAGTTTCTTGAATGTATGCGTACCTCTCAACGGGGTCTCTGGCTATGAGAACTATTTTAGCTTCTGGATAGAAATGATGGATGTGATGTGCATTTGTAAATTGTGGACCATCATCTCCCCATGGTTCTCCAGTTACATTATAGATGGTGCTGGGACTCCCATCCACTGAAATATGTGAAGTCATTCACGGTTATATCAGTGAATATTAGTAAATTATAAAAAATAATTCTGAGAATAACAAACTGTCGTTTGGGCTTACTTGTTATCATATTATGAAATGGAAATCCATCTTTCTCTGTATACTCTTTCCGTATTGTCTCAGACACACCGTCAAATACATCAACATATGAGCTCATTGGATGACCTCCTAAAAAGAAAATTTTCATCTCAAACTGACAATTGACTCTAATGATTATGGTCTTCCTCCTACATTGTCCTAAAGCTAGAGTGTGACGACTTCCGCTGGTATTCAAATGTTTATAAACTTCTGATAGAATATTCATTCTTTCTAATGACCTAACATCTCCTTATGGTGTTTACCCTAGTTGTTGTTCCGATATAAAGATGGCAGAATGGTACAATTATATAAAAAGAAGTTAAATATGTACAGACCGATTGATTGACCTGCCCTCTATAAGTAAACATTATTTCTATCGCCCTTTAGCCTCTAGCGTTTACCTTTTGGTGGTCTTCTTACACTCCACCAATGCCATTCCTTCGCTTCTGTGACGATATCGGGATGGCCCAGTAATCGGCGGTATAGATCAGTTGTAGCGCATTTAGAAGTACCAATGATATAGAAAAATGGCAAACATCTTAGTCGCCATGGCAAACCCTGCTCTCTACGAGCCGTCCACAGGGCATTTAGGTTATCCACCAGTTTTCCCCTCGTAACAATAAATCTGTCGAATCGATAAGGGTCTTCAGCACCAAGTCTAGAAATCCAACACGGGTTTCTATAGTTCGGGAGAAATGGAATCCTTCTCTAAAGAAACAACTGAATTGTTAGTCATGTAAGCTCAAATAAATGAATACATCAATAAGAAGGCAAAAATTCTTCCATAAATTATGTCACATAAAGAACATTGAATCTATATATTAGTTAAAGAAGACATTGATGGAATATTGAAACATCTTACAATGTTGCTGATGTTCTTGGTTTCTGTCAGCATCTGTAGCTCAATAGTGTTCCATATATTCATCAGAGCCTTGAGTGAGGCATCATCAAGTCGCGGATCTATTCCAAAGTGCTCTCTAATAAGCGATTCCTCTGATCTTACATTTTCATTGCCTGATATTGAATTATCGAGCACTGTGTCAGATTTTCTTGAAAGATCGTCAACTGCATTGTATCCTTCTAATTCGCCATGTGCCTCAAATTCACCATCGGCGTCAGTGTCAAAATCTCCGGTGTTCACAGAATCATCACTCGTATCTTCTTTCGTATCGGCGTTGTCATGGTACGCTTCAGTTTCTATGGCAACGGCATGATGGGCCGTTTCGTGTTGGGACGAGGCGCCTACTTTAGACAAGCCCATGTGTAACTCTCGAGGTAGGTGTCTTGGATCAACGTTAATTCTCCTATAGTTCGAATGTCTGTGAAAAGATGTCAGCTGAATAAGTCCAAAAGTTAGACATCCAATTAAGATGATGAGCTTTAGCTTGTCATAGATAAACTTTCTTAACTTAAAATACATTTTATAACTCAGTGAATACTTTCAAGTACGTCCATTGGTAAGTACAGGTTAAGCGGCATTTTAATTTATTCATTTTTAGACACTTTTAATTAATGAATCAATAATGTTTCAAAACGACGTATATGCCCTTTACATTGCCAATTACTGCCCATGTGTTAAGATCATCACACTGATATGTAAAAGGTTAGACACTTCGTTAAATAAACAAGTGGGGTCAGATTTTATGAAAATTGATTGAATTGTACTGTTCAATACCGTGTCTGATTTGAACAATCCTCGAAACTCAAAAACCCAGAGTATGTAGTCCCTTCTGTCCCGATTGACTGCTTCATTCTAAACCGACATAACTGGTATACTAGCCAATACAAGTATCTGGACATGTTTTTGAAGTAAGCGATAGCATTGCTCTTTTTAAGTGTCAATAAAAATACGAATACATCAAATTACAATAAAAACGAAAACAAATATTAGCCTGGGATGTTAAGAACAACGGGGTTTTGCTTTGCTTAAATTAATTTCAACAAAATCCAGGGAACTCAGGATATGTGATGTCAAATTAAAGTCGTTTAAAAAAACTGCACTAAAATCTCCAATTATGAGGATAATTAATAAAACGTGTTCACTGTTCATATTTGGTGGACAGTTGCACTAAACTTATTCCTACATGTTTCATTATATGAAACTGACATGGCATGGAGGTACTAAATTTATTGCACCAATAATTTATGTGTGCGTGTAATTCGTGGAACTATTTTTCATGTAAACAGAGTAAAATATCTTCAACTGAGAAATTTTTGAACAACTATAATATAGCCTTAATTAATAATGGAGTTGCAATATACATGTAGCTGAATAAAGCTGAATAAATGTACACTTTAGTATTTCTTTTGGTTGGGCCAGACTGCCATAGGCTCATGCATAGGCTTCAATGTTAAAAACGTCATAGTCGTCAAAATAGTCATTTAATTTTATAATTTCTCAAAAATGTGTTGGTTGAATCCGTCTAAAACTCAAATGGCGTACAATTAGATGACCCTGTTAATGTACTGTACATATTGTGATTAATCATGAAACCGATGTTTTAAAGAATACACTAGAGATTAGGTCCAACCTTTTTCACGAAGATTCTTAAAATATTATGAAAACGAGAATTAGCGAGACTTCATAACTATATAGAAACGCTATTGTACCTAAATGATGCACCATCGCTCATATTTTTTCGCGACTGTTGACTCATTTGGCATTTATGGTTTGAATTACAATCTGGGCACATCGTATTAACAAAACCTCTTCTCTAAATTTCATATGCAGAATTTGGGTTGATTGTCTACTCATTATCACAGGGTTTGGTTCCAGTAATCATCATAGTATTTGCTTTTCAAGGACCTAAGTGACGTATTGACGTTTGAATTTTGTCAATCCAGATAGATCCAGTAATAATTCAAGCTTTGTATTGGTATTTACTTGTTTTAGGAGTATTCAATACTTCTAGCCAAATGTTATCACTTTTAAGTCGGTTAATTTTTTTATTACTATATTAAATTTAGTATCTACAACTATTTTTGATGTTATGAGTATTGGTTATCAATTATTTCTTCAACATGAATTGTAATGACTTCATCAGTATGAGTGAAATGCCTCTTGGTGTTCTGGTCCTAGATTGCGATATTGGCTCTTCAATCTCGATTAGAGGCTAGTGGGAGGATAGATATTTCTTTTCACGTTAGATCATGGTTTTGGGATATATAGGGTCTATTTTTCTTATGACAGGTTTACATATAGAGTTTGTTTTTCTTGCTAGGTTTCTTTACAATTTTTGGTCCTCTCCATTTGACACTTGTGCTTGGATATTCAAGTTTATTTGAAACACAGTAAAATTGTGGGAACACAACCGGTCATAAGGAAAATAAATCCATAACATCAAAAATTCTATATACCGAGATTCTTCCCACCTCCCTCGCTACACAGAAGCAATCACAATTCAACATTTCATTCATACTGACGTCATTGTAATAATGTCGAAGATGATGTCCACTACTCTGATTTCAAAATTACCAATGACGTAATACCCTACCAAAATTACACATTCTATTTCAGCACGTTTAGAATAGTCTAAATTCAGTTTCAAAGTCCAAGGAGTGTCAAACGGCCAGAACTGCAAACAATCGAACCAAGATTGAGCAAATCATCCACTCATTCGGGAGATGTGATCACAAATTGGCTCTGTACCAGCGAAAGTAGTTTTTGAGATGTTCCTTTTTCTTATTAGACCACCGATTCAATATGTTATAATTGAAAGAATAAGAATTGTGACACATATTTTTGAATTGGAATTTATTTATTTATCTATTTATTCATTATGGTATTATTCATTTAAATGATTGGATACAGAATTTATAACAGTGGCACTCTAACACTTAATATCAGGTCCACTCCTCATATTATTACACATTTAAGAAACTCCATTTCAATCTATAGTGTTACAGTATTTAGTGGTACTAAAACATGCATGTAATATCCGGAAATGTTTACAAAAATAATATTACACTGATAGCCTTTAAAAACTCATTTTTTAATTTTTTTGACACATTTCTCTTAACTATGATGTTGTATTCTCGAAATTGTTAGAGTACACGTAGTATATATATTGACTGGAACAACTTAGATTTATTTGGATGCCCTTTACACCTCATTTCTGTTCCAGCCTAATCTCTGTATTTCAAAAGTTTTATCATTCCCATTTGTAACGCACATTTAGAAACTTGAATAATCGTTCATTGAAAGGTCGAAAATAATCTCTCAGAATTGTGCGCTCTTTTTCGGTAATGTCAACATGAATACGCCCCTTGCTGTTAGGATTATGGGAACATTCTTCCATCTGTGGGCCTTTTGTTTTGTAGCAATAATATTTACCAGCTTTTCTCAGTAGAAAAGAATTTTCATTGAAAAATGGATTGAGACCTAAATGTTTTTCGACCCTTTGCATTGCAATCCATGGCGTATTGACGAATTCTTCGTGTTCTAATACCAATATGTTTTTGTCTCCGACCATTCTATACCAAACGGGAAAGTAATCTATATATCTTGTCTTCTGAAGCGCCCCACTTGTATTTGGATTGCTTATCTGTTCTTTGATCCAATGTCCAATTGGTGGGAGTAGTGTTTTGTTACCTGCTTTTAACTGTGTGTAATGTGATATCATTCGCTCAACTGGGTTTCTAATGATAAATAGAAGTTTCAGCCGTTTACCTATTAATTCGTTAATATTGTTTATCAAACTCAATGAATCAGTATTCATAAAACAGTTTGTGCATCGTGTGAATGCCCATTCGTTCTCTTTACATTTCGGTAATCTCTTTAGATACCATTGTATACCAAAATTATACGTGAAGAATACTTGTAATCCAACTGCGTCTCTGATGGATGGATGTTCTTTCAAGAAAGTTTTCATTGTACCAGTTCCACATTTCATTACACCTCCTAGTAATACTAAATTTCTTTTCTTCACTTCGGCGTCAGAAAAATAATTTGAAAAATCTAAATCGGATTGATTTACTGTTTTCGGAAACATATTCATACGTTTGGTTCCTACAAAGACATAACCTGGTTCACCATAATGTCTCTGTTCCGCTGCTTTATTGGTGTCTGTATTTTCTTTGTGTGTAGACATTTTTTCTTCTTTTGTATCACGAGAGGTTATGTTGGTAGGTTCGTCTGGAGTCCTTATTTTAATACAATTGCAATCTGTCGTTTTCGTGTTATTACGTTTTGACACACCAAATGTTGTTTTCATGTTACTAAGTTTTGACACACCAAATATATTATACATTAAAATAGTCATTAGAGTCAAACCCAGAACAAGCCAAATTGCGACAATGTACCGTCTCCTCATGATTTTCTGCTTTGTTTTGTGTACATTCAATAGGTGAGTAATAAACTTGTAAACTTATCACACGTGTTCTTGAAACGGTCAAAGATATTTAATTGAATCGATTTAATCAAAGGCATATATCGTTTATCTGATTTTCCAGAAGTATACACAGATCGTACAAATGTTTTAATTAATAATTATAAATGGGAAGCTTTATCTTTCTGAATAATGGTAGGGATTTGTTCAGTGTGAAGTTTTGGATTGTACATGAGATTACTCCAAGGCTAAGCTCATGCATTATTTGAATTAGGTATAACAATTATATAAACCAAAGTATTCTTTAAATATTCAAAATGTGTCCTTGATGTGTTGTAACTTTTTTTAATTTGGTGTTGATTCTTTGGGAATTTGGCTTTTCGAATGCTCTTTTATCCAATACACGGATGTTTATATTGTTCGATCATTTGCACGTGTAGTGGAATAACGATGAAGACATATAGGCTAATAGTGGTACACACAACACCAAAAACATTCAGGTGACCCGTGTATCATAGGCCAAATATTATCATTCCCAGTTGTAACGCCTGTTTAGGAATTTGAATAATCGCTCATTGTAAGGTCGAACAAACTCTCTCAGAAATGACCGGTCATCTTCGGTGATGTTAAAATGAGTACGGCCCTTGTTATCGGGATTATGGGTACACTCCTTCATTTGTGGACCCTTTGATTTATAGCAATAATATTTACCTGAATTTTGAAGTAAAAAAGAACTTTCATTGAAAAATGGATTGAGACCTAAATGTTGTTCGACCCTTTGCATTGCAATCCATGGCGTATTAACGAATTCTTCATGTTCTAATACAAGGATGTTCTTTCCTCCAAATGTTTTATACCACAAAGGAAAAAAATCAATGTATTTTGTTTTGGAAAGTGCGCTACTATAGGTTCTATCTATAAGTTGTTCTTTCATCCAATGTCCAAACGATGAAAATTCTGTTTTGCTACCGAGTCTCAATTGTGTATAATGTGATATTAATCGTTCAATTGGGCTCCGGATAATGAAAATAAGTTTCAGTCGTTTTCCTGATAATTCGTTAATGTAGTTAATTAAACTTAAAGAGTAAGTATTCGTAAAACAACCTGTGCATCGTGAGAAGGCCCATTCGTTGTCTCCACATTTCGGTAATCGCTTTAAATACCATTGGATACCGAAATTATACGTGAAGAACACTTGCAGTCCAATTGCTGCTCTGATGGATGGGTGTTCTTGCAAGAAGGTTGTCAATGTGCCAGTTCCACATTTCATTACCCCACCTAGTATTACTAAATTCATTTCCTTTACTTCGGCGTCGAAGAAATAGTTAGAAAAATCCACCTCTGATTTATTTACTGTTTTCGGAAAAATGTTCACACTTCGGGTTCCTGAATGCACGTACCACGATTCGCCGTATTTTGTGCGTCTCTTTTCCTCTGTTACATTTTCGGAATTAACGTACGTGCTTGTAGACGTTTCTTCGTCTGAAGCACTTCGTGTAGTGACGTAAGCATGTTCGTCGTGCAATGTGATATTGCAATATGTTAATCCAATATCATTACGTTTTGACACACCAAATGTAATGTAGTGTACTACAATACTCATCAAAGTTAGTCCAAACATTGTCACCATAGCGCACATATATTTCCTCTTCATCCTTGCCTCTGGAATGAATCACGTATAGGTAAACTTGAAAATGTTCACTTCTATTTTTTTGTTACGTCCCAAGCTTGAAATATTTAATTAAACAATATGATTTATTTCATAAACTGCTTTTAAAGTTTGTCAAACCTCGACACCTGTCCTTAAAACAAATCACAATTTCAGTACTGACGTATTGATGAAGACAGACATAAATTATGACAGCACTCAATCTAGATCTGAACATAAATTTGCAGATAAGAAATAAGTATCGAATAGCTATTGTGAAATATGTGAAATCATTTTTGAAACGTCAATTTAACAGACTCAATCGGAGACTTTCCGAATCATAAATATTTAACCGATTTATTTGGTATAGACACATGAACATTGATCTTCAAACGAAATAATAGTAATTATTTTAAACTAACAAATGCAACAGGCTTATTGGGAATTTCAATTTTACATATTGTTATGCTGGTATTTTTACATCATTCACTGCGTAATTAATCAAAATCCAGATAATCAGATAGTGTTATTTGACACAAGAAATGAATACGTACTAATATAGGTTGATAACCCTCTAAATAGCAAAAGCGATAACAGGGTTCATATAAATTAGAGAAATCAACTTTTCAGTCTAGACACATTGTCGGAGCAAATCGTTCAAAAACGAGTTCAGAAAGCTGTATTTGAAAATTATTAACAAACAAGCAAGTCATGATTTAATCATTTGTGAGTAATTTCAGAGGGATATTGTACAAATATTTCATTTAGTGAATGCTTGTGCATATTTCACAAGTGATGCTGCAAACATTTTAACAATTCTGAACAACGAGCTCTTTGATAAGTCCAAGAACATTTTCAATGTTCTTTGCATCGTAAATAGAAACTCGGGTTGTCTGGCATCTTCGGCTTCCAAGTTGGGTACAAAATACTTTTTCTATTTCTTTGTGGTGTGTCATGTCCGTGGTGATCTTCACGGAACCAATCAAAATTGACAAAATATTTGTTTTACAAGCAGTCACACCGGCAAGACCCTAATTTACGCCGGTAGAACTCTCCTTACTTTTTGTACCATTGAGATGCATGTTAAATTGACAAAGTTCAAATCAGAATTTCTCAAATCGCAGCCCATCGGTTTTTAAAGAATTTCAGAGAAATACAGCAACACATCTCTCCTTCATGTCTAAAAGAGTTCAACAAAAATATCTCACGAAAATCAAACGTTCTGCTCTCTTACATAATTGGAGTACCAAAACGTCATCATGTTTATGTACATTGACCAATTCACCACAACCAAGGTCATCCATCCGCAGAAAATAATCCCAAAGATTTGCCGTTCACTGTTAACCTCACGTTTCCCAGTTATTCTGAGCATTATATGCCTGCAAATTAGAGAATTCTATCCAAAGTTGATGTTCTAGTATACCATTGAAGTCCCCAAACAGGGTTTTAAATAGAACTACTTTCCTCATACCACGAAATAAACAAACCGAGTAAGGATAGTAGACTCGCCACCATACTAGTCAATGAGCAAATAGGCAAACGCCTGATTTCATACCTCGAGATATGGATTTATGTGGTCCCACTGGCCTATCTGAGGTTCGAAAGCAATGTCTAAGCTACATTTTGACACTAAACTCAAAAGGGGTCAAACATCTACTTTTTGAAATAATTGGTCAATCGTGACACTACCCCCTCTCTCTGCCGACAGAAATTGAAATTCACAAAAATGACGTCAAGATTAATACGCCACTTGACTCGAAATTTTCCTTCAGATAACCCAAATAAACGCATTTTCAGAAGAAATGGCATGTAATCATTGCAAAAAGATGACAACTGTACCTACATATTAGCTTACTGACTCGTCAGTTGTGTTGGGACTACATTAATCTTTTAAAACTTCTTTTTTCTTTTCAGCGGAACTGACGTATTAGGGCAGTTTGGCCACCACGAAAGATTGGCTCACACGGTTCCATTTCGATACTCTTCCATAATCATGAGTCAAAAAAATTCAAAACACACAAGAAGTGATGACAATATTAGTTCAATGAATTTGTAGTCAGTCATAATGTCAGAAAATAACGACAGTTTTATTGAAAGATTCATTTAACCCTTATGTCTGCAGTACCAAAGGTCAATTTGCCCCCCCCCCTTCTCTGTGTTTTTCACAGTACTTTTTGCATTACTTTTTTGGCCTCCGTTAATTTTCCTAGCCTAAGCCATCTATAACTGGTGTAACAACACTGGGTTGTTACTTTTCATATTTCATGCCCAGTTAAATTATTTCATATATCTGTTAATGTAATTATTGGTATTTCAATTAATTGTAAGGTTGGCGAGGATTTTTATAACTTTTGAATTTGGTGCAAAAAACTTAGGCCTAGTTTAGATTAGCCAATCAGAGCACGTCTTAGAAAAGCGTTTAGGAGGCGCACATGGAGAATTTAGGTTGACATTTATTTTATATCGTGCGGATTAAAATCGTCTCAAATGTAGGACTTAAGGTCCTAAGATAGGATGGGATATGATTCTATTAGCAGTAAAGGGCCTAAGATAAGATAAATCAAGTTGAATAGGGTAAGGAAGTTAGTTTTGTACAGAAATAGACGGCTAAGTCAATTTTGCAAACTTTGAGAATCTACATCATTTCTTAGTTGCTATCGTTGATTCCAATCAGATATATATTCATAATTATGTCTCATTTTGTGCAGTGAATATTACCAGCTTCAGGTAGCATACTAATTTTGCAAGGTTTTAGTTAAAAATAGATATTCATAGCCATGTGTGTACTTTTATCAGTTTGAATATTTGCCAAAAGGTGGCACTGGTGTTGTGGAGCATCTACATGTACATGTAGTAGTTGTGTGTATTATCTATTAAAGGTCAGATTGATAATAAGATTGAAAAACTGTTTTATTAACAGTACCTTGTTTGATAAGCCATCTGAAAGACCTTAATTTCATTGTAAAAAACTCATTGTACATATTTCATACTTATAGTTGATTACGCAATATATGTATTTCAATTCAAATTATATTTTTTGTTATTATTGAGATCAGTGTGACAGTAAGTTGTCAGTAAAGAGTAGATTATTTCTTAACAACCAACACGCTCCCTAGTCCAGGCCATACACTACCACCGAAATGTCAAGTATATTTAACATCTCGTAATTTTATATTACGTCGCGGCTAGGCGAGTGTGACCCCCGGTTGTTACACTGGCACTCTTTGGTGTAAAAATTAGGGTGATTGTGGGTGATGGTAATGGTGATAGTCGTAAGTTGATGCCAATTAGAATGAAATTCATAAAATATTATGTACAGTTACCTTGTTTGTAAGAATCTAAAAGGTAAAGTGATCATTATTGTTCTACAGGGTGGTCAAAAAATGGAAACCCTGCCTTTTCCTCATATCTTTGTCATTTTGGGTAATTATTCCCTGAAAGACACATATGTACAACATTCAATTTCCTACCAGTTAACCATATTTCATGACCATCAGATTGATAGTTACAGTGCAGTACAGCACTTTGAACAAGATGCCCCGGTGTGGCCACCATCGCGCTATTGGCAAATCTGAACAGGTTGTCAATGATCTGACTACATTTTTCAGCATGTGTGGCCTGAGTGACATGGATGATCTGCTTTATGAGGTCTGCAGTTGTCTTGGGGTTATTCTCGTACACTTTTTTGGTGTATCACCACAGGTTGAAGTTAGGTAGGGACATTTTGGATGATAGGTGCAAGTTTGCCGAAAGTGCAATATGGGCCACTGGAGCATGTTGTTTAAAGTGCTGTAACATTGTGACTATCAATTTGATGGTCATGAAATATGGTAGGCCGGTAGGAAATTGAATGATGTATAAATGTGCTAAATATCAGGGAGTAATTTTCTAAAATGACAAAGATATGAGGAAATGGCGACATGGTTTCCATTTTTTGACCACCCTGTATTATTTAGCACATTGAATTTATTTTACAACTTGCTTCCTTTCTTGACAATCGAGCCACTATTGACGATCTTATTCCAACTCTTAAATGTGAAATACCAGGTAATCGTCAAGTATTCGCGAATCACGTTCTCTTCACGAATTTGAGAAAACGTTTTATTTCCAAAAACTACTTGATGCATACTAATGAATTCTATGCAAACTGTGGTATCAGAATAATAATGATTACCTTCTCCAAAGGAGTTGGATAAACAAGCAACAGAGAGTGCCCAAATTGAAACGAAAAAAACGTTTTTAAGAATCGAAGTAAAAAACACCAGAAGTACGTTGATATTTACATAACGGTATGGTCGCCATCTTGAATCACCTCCCCGTTCGAGCACGTCTATGAAGGTCGTAAATCAACCGTAGAAAGTTGCAGCTACTACGTTCATTCCGTTCGCACACAATTTAAAACCTCAGCAACGTTTTGAAGAACGCAGTGGCAACTAGTTTGGTGTGATAGCTATACTTTGCTTGCTTGTTCATAAACAGTCTTCAATACGTCATTAATCAGTTTAAATCCGTTTGCAATTAGTTCTATCTCGTTCTCAATACGTCGCAAGACAGTTCAACTCGTTCTAAAAACGTCCCTAGTAAGACTGAAATACGACAGTTCGGTTCGCAGTGCGTCCATTTCGTCTGTAGTACGTTGTCACTCGTTCTGAATGCAGAACATGACGACGACCAGAAAATTTTGACCATGCTCTAACCCTACTATCACACCAAACTAGTTCTCACTACGTTCTCGAAAACGGGCTTCAGCTGTGTACGAACGGACTGGACGTACTTAGAACCGCTTGGGATCTATTTACAAACTTACTCGAACGTACTCGAACGGGTAGGTCCTCTAGAACTCAGACAATGCTCAAAATGTTCTCGTGGTCGTCACGTTCTACAATTAGAACGAGTGACAACGTACTAACGACGAGCTGGACGTACTACGAACAGAACCGTCGTACTTCAATCCTACTAGGGACGTTTTAACAACGAGTTGAACTGTCTGAGGACGTGTTGAGAACGAGGTAGAACTAATTGCAAACGGGTTTAAACTGATTAAGAACGAATTTAACACTGCTTATGAACGAGTTAGCAAAAATATAGCTATCACACCAAACAAGTTGCCACTGCGTTCTTCAAAACTGGTTTTAAACTGTGTGCGAACTAAATGAACGTAGCTGCAACTTTCTACGAACTTTATGAACGTTCTTAGACGGGAATGTGATTTTAGAATTTTGAATCGATTCAAAATTCGATGGCGACCATACCGTTCTGTAATCAGGTCATGTTGACCTTCTAGACTAAGGGACGCGTCATACGACGTTGCACACCGACGTGGTGCGACCTGAACGAACTGCGAACGAGATGAACGTATTGAA